CAGAGTTTCACCGCTGGGCTGCCTGCACAATCCGAGCCCAGAAACTCAGTTACTTTGTTCTCACTACATCTCCCCCCCCACACCCCTCCTGATAATGACGACCTGTCCCAGATTCTGTGGGTATGAGAAGAATCGCATCAGTTGTATGTCAAAACACAATCACAATACGCTTGGCAGGCGACTCGCAAGAATAGAGCAGTGGGGAGAGATTTCTCTCAATTTGCCAACAATTGAATATTTTATGGTTTCGTAAAGAAACTTAGTGTCTTTCATCCATTCTAATCCTGACCTCAAAATTGGGGTATTTCGGTTCCCAATCTATTTCTGCCATTCTGTAAGCCAGCTTCTGCATGGTTAAGTAGAGACAATGTTAAGACAAGCCTTTTAAGCCCATTAGCCTTATAATTCATATGTCTTGGCAAATGCTATTCAGTGTAGTCCAAGATCTGCTAGCACTATCTTCCTGCTGGCTTTTTGGAGAGAGGGGAAGAGAGAGAGAGAGAGAAAGAGGGAGAGAGGGAGAGAGAGAGAGAGAGAGAGAGAGAGAGTATAAGTAAGGGAGGTGGGAGGAAGTGCAAGCTTTTCACTCGCGATGAAGAGAGGGAGATAGAAATGGAAAAGTATGCTCTAGCAGGCTGCCACATGTTGAAGAATTTGTTTACCGTTTCCTGTCCTGTGATCAACACACAGTTCAAACGGGCAACAGAGGAGATGTGGTGGGCGAAAAGGATTCAGATCTGTTCTTCTGTTCCTGAGGGTCAACCCACCTTACAGGGACAGTTAACCCAAAAAACCAACTGTGTCATCTTTTACTCACCCTCATGTTGTTCCAAACTCTTTTGAATTTTTTTCTCATGCAGAACAAAAAAAGGAGAATTTTTTTTCGGGGAATAATTACTAAAATACATGTATAACACTTTTACAACATATATTTAACAATGCAAAATTAGGGGGGAAACGCAATCTCTACAGAAGCGTTTTTAATGCTGTGTAATGGGGGAAAAAAAATTAAAAAGAAGACTTGACTACAATAGTTAGGCACACAATACAAAGAAAAAGATGAATGCAAAAAAGTCAGATTAGGTCCTGTTTATACCTGATATTAAACTGTATTTTCATCAAATCCCATAACAAATGTAGGAATACAGATGTAAACAGGATCGACAGCATTTGAACTTGCCCACTTTTAACTTCTTCCACAGGTGGTCAAAAACTCATTTGATTGGATTGTTAAACACTCATGTGTTCAAACAGCCAGAAAAGACTACCTACGGTTCACCAACTGACCTAGCATGATCTATACGAGATGTGTTGTGAACAAAACGCACCAAAACAAGGTATTCCTATATCTCGGTGTTTTACATAAAGCACACAATGATCGGAATCAAATTCACTTCCTTTTCATTCACTTGTTTTCCTGCTCGCTCATAAGCCACATTTGGGTTCAAACATTATAAGTCAAATAGTGCCAGTCAGTTGCAAAGTTGTCAGCGACAGTAGTAGAGCATGACAAAATAAGAAAGAAAGCTCTTGATGTCACAAGAAAGCCGTTATAAATCAGGTAGAAACTGTAATTCCTCTCTGTTAACCACTTGTGTTCAGATGACTGAAAACACACGTAACAGGTGGAAACAGGGCCAGAATATGGACACAGAATATGCAACAAGTTGTTTTCGAATGTGTAGAATTTGCCTCAATTGCATGTTCCAACCAAGTAAAAAAAAAAACTTGACAAAAAAATATGCATGAGGTGAAAAACATCCTGTGAGCAGTGTTAGGGGTAACGCATTACAAGTAACATGAGTTACATAATAATATTACTTTTCTACAAGTAAAGTAACGCATCACTTAAAAATTTGTTATAATATTTGAGTAAATTTAACAAAAATACAAAACAACTTAATTTTTTTGTTTAATTAGTTAGCTTTTAAAAAGTAAATTGATTAATTATAATTAAGATGAGAGAATGCTTTCATTATTTTGAACACAAGAAAAAAAGGAATTGTACTTGAAAATGGTTTGTATGTCACTAATAAGACAAAAAGCAGCATTTCAAATTTCATTAATCTGTATATACACACGACATGTAGGAACTTCTCAAAAGACAACAGTATCCTACATTATTCATTTTCATTGTGTTTTTTAAGGTAAATAATGGTGTAGGTTATACAGCGTGTTGTTCATGGCAGAGCAATTTTAAAAAAACCTGCAAGTTTAGTAAGTAATCACCAGCCTCAGCCTGGTAAAAAAAAGTAACGCAAAAGTAACGCATTACGTACTATAAAAAGCAACTAAGTAACGCAAGTTACTTTTTAGGAGAGTAACTCAATATTGTAATGCATTACTTTGCAAAGTAACTTTACCTAACACTGCCTGTGAGTATATAAAGTGAGTGATGCAATGTTTCACATCTGATGTGAACCAAGCTTAAGTTCCCATTCATTATGATCACACTGAAAAGAGCAGTTGACATTCTTTAAAACTTCTATTTCAAGAGTTGACACTTAGCTATTGCTTGATACAATTTGCGAATTTGGCATGCTGTCCTAGGAGAGAAACCTGAGCTCGAAGAGACTTGAGCCCAGGGCTCCTGCCTGGTCATTTACTGTAGGATGACAGTGGGTCTAAGATCAGATAGGTCTCGAGAGCTCCCCCTGGTTAAGAAGGAAAAGAGGATATGGGGTGTATGGGGGGATTCTTCAAAATGAAGATAAGGACGGTAGGATGAATGTATTTATTTATTGGAGGCTAGAATACATCTGATTGGTCTAGCAATGACATCTGATTGGTCTAGAAATGATATCTGATTGGTCTAGCAATGATTACTAATGCGAGACCAGCTGCGAGAGCAGCTGTGATCATTTTATAATAATTTTATAAATTTATAATACATTATAATCTGCTTTTCAACAAATCAAAATAAAAATTGCCCTAGATAGTGCTCAAAAACTTTTTCCAGTCTTCCTGCATTTAATTAATTACATTTTAAAAACTTTTTTTGTTTTTTTTGGCGGTTGACAGAATCATTTCAGATGCGGACTATGGGATAAAGACTATACCTGGCCTATAATATCTGTCTGACAGGAGTAAATTAGTAAGTTAGTGTGAGAGAGAGAGAGAGAGAGAGAGAGAGAGAGCACATGCACAGTGATTTTTCTCTCCCTCCCTGCAATCGGAAACCAATCCCTGATTCTGCGTTGAGATATGGAGAAACTCTGCAACTAACATGGCCTAAAATAACTCTTACAGCATGATATTTTCGGCAGGTCTTTTTTTTATTGGGAGTTTCTGTTGGAATTCTGATATTAAACAGCTACATTCAAGATCAAATGTCTGGTTATGTACTTATCAGAGAAGAATTTATTCAAAGTCACAATGGAAGAATAAAGTCAATGGATTTTAAATGGAGAAACACTCAAAAAGAGGGGCTCTTGTAAGTGCCTGAGAAAAGGGAAAAATGAAAAAATCTTATTATGCAAATTATGACAGAATGATGAGGCAAGGCTTTGTGGGTAATAGCCAAAACTCACTTTATGCAAAGTGTTAATAAAACATTGGCCAAAAAAGGAAGAGCCCCAGTGAATTTAACAAGACACCACTAAAAAAAAGAGAGCGATAGTAAAATCATTCTGACAAAACAACAGAAAACATTGTGAATTACAACCAGAATTCATATTAACTTTTTTCTTTTTTTGCCCACAGAACCCTCATCTTCCTATTACATTACAATTAATTCCTATAATAAATTATAGAAATCACACCAGTTGATTACCTGACTACTTTATCACAGCGTTTATGAATTTGTGAACACTGAAATCAATCACCAGCATATTAGAGCCAACACGGTAATATATGACTTACTTCAGCAAATTACTTCTCTCCTCTCCACACAAGTCAGCGTTAATTTTTCATAAGATTTATGTGTGAACTCAACAGCTGGATTTTATGATGGAGTTCACCGCGATCATATATACAGCGGCAAGATCCATTAAAAGGTTTAAATTCTGTATGTTTTCAGTGCAAGTAGTATTTGTGAGTACAAAAAATGCACACACTGTACAACTATTTAATTAACTATTTAACTTTTAAGACTTAACTCAAAGTCTCTTTGGATGAATCAAGGCGGTGGATCAACTTCATGAAGTTTCGTTTTAAAAGTAAAACAACATTCATCAGAGCCTCTTATGTTCACTTTAGAAGATTGTTTCCACAAATTATGATTAAGTGCACTTCAGCTCAGATACGCGTGTGCTATGATAACATACACTGATTAACAGGAGAACTTCAAAAGATGTTTTAAAATATGTGAAAGCTCTCTGTAAATATATTTAAGTAATGTCTTGTTGCACTAATTACACATTGTAAAAATTATACTTTTTTCTTTATATTAGGAAAGAACAAAAGTTATTATTATTATTATTATTACTATTATTATTATCATTATCATTATTATTATTACTATTATTATTATTCTGTCTTATCACTATATTTTAGAATTTTATATATTATATTTTTATTTTGAATATTCAATTATTTCATAGTGTTTAATTTATTAAGTGGATTTCACAGTACATTTAACACTTCAAATGTGCATAAAAATGTGACTTAGTAGAAAACATAGCAAAGAGCCTTTTGGCATATGCAAAAGCATCTAAATGAAAAATAATCAATAACTGTGTAACTAGCTGATGAGGATAGTGAAACTGAGACAGCCTTTGGATTGAGATCTGCTGCTGTTTGGGGCAGGAATGATCGAGCTGCTGATGATTGGAGGGTTAACGCGCTTTAATCCCAGATGGATTACTCTGACTAAGGAATGGGGGAAAGATCGCAATAGCTGACTGAGAGAGAGGGGGAGAGATCGCGGAGCCCCTGCCCGTTAACGGTGCTCAACAACAGGCAGTCACGCGAGCAGCAGCTCCGCGCGCGCCAGTCTACCGACCACGACAAAACACGCACACATCACAAGTTAAAGTTCAATGCGGTCTGGAATCACTCACCTAGTGTCGCGTACGTCTCCGTCCACGTGTCTCGAAGGAAAACGACCCTCCGGGTTAGGTGAACAGGGTCGGGATGTCTTATCTGTGTTGATTTGCGCTGGTCTCTCAAGGACGAGGTGAAATCCCAGGGCTGGTCACACACAAACAACAACGCCAAAGCAAAATTACAAAAGGCAAAGACTTGGGGGAGGAGAAGTCAATTTGTTTCGTGTTCTAAACAACAGGCTCTGAGCCAAGAGTGGTTACCTTAGCGCCAGTGCTCGGTTGAGCAAAGCAAATGTGACAAAACTGGACCATTTAAATCCAGCACACTGGGCTTGGCTAAAGCGCTACATGCAGTTCAAAGCAGTTTGGTGTGCGCGCGCTCTTACCTGAGGGCGCATCGAAAGCTATAAAGGCGACAGCACACGACATTTGCACTTATCAAAACATAATAAGTAGAACCCAGATTAAGTATGCGAGGACTGGATTTGGGACGTCTAATTTTGAGTGAGCGCAGTTTTGACACACTTTGTTATTTACAGTTGTCCTTGAACGCTTCTTTACTGCGGTCTAATAAGTGCGAGCCCTTCCAGGTGCCTTATATTAAAGCATAGCCTATTTACAGAACGAGGGATTTTTGAATGTCAATAATCGTTCTATCATCTTCCCTGGCGAGCTACCGGCATGTTAATGCGTGAACTTCTTTAATCTTGGTTAAATTACTGTCATGAGGTGTAATGTTTATACCTGTGTGCCGGAGGCGCAAGGATGCGCACAGGTGTTAGTCGCGCGCCCGTCATGAGCTCATGCAGTAGCAGTTTCCCACACGCGCCGTTTGTTTTAATTCACCTGTCAAGTCACGCGCATCTATATTACACAACACGCCTTTGTAGTCAAAATGTTTTGGGTTGTGCTTAAAATGAGTGTATACAAACAGATATTAGAGTGTTAATATTTATACTTAGACAATGTATTTACCAGCAGGCTAAAGCCTTCATTATAATACATGTTCGGTTCATTTGGAAGCAAAAGATAACTCAGATAACGACCAGGCATTTGCTTACAAATCTGCACGTTTAATTCCTAAAATGAAATTTGCTACCGATTTGATTTCATCTGTCCACACAAACATCCGTGGATTATTCAATAAGGTCAGCATTTAATGCAATTTATTATTTGAGTGAAACATTACATTTCATGGATCTTTTGCTCAGGTTTATTCAGTGATTAAAATGATAAATTGTCCTGTTGTCATATTTTTGAAGTTAAAATAGACGTCTGATGTATTATGAGATAGATTTTTCCTACCCAGAATTGTTTCTTTTCGACAATTTGTCAATTTTTTTCGCAATTATAAGTCTGTTTTAAAGTCAGTTGTCACGTTTTGGCAAAAGTTTGAAGCGCGCCTCACGTACGCGCGCACGCGCGTTTCAGGTTTCTCTGCGCGCGCCAGGGAACGTGTGCAGTCCTAAGCAGCTAATGTGAACCTGATTTTCTCTTACAGAATAATAAATACTTTAGATAAGAATATATTAGACAACTGGGACAGAACTATGTTACATTATTTTATTTATGATACGGACGTCACTTAAAATCACGTAAAACACCTTAAAGTGAAAATTAAACAAACAGTTTTGTTTTCAAATAAACTTTAACCGTAACACATAATAAGGAAATAGTGGATAAACTTTTAGGCTAGCTATTTACTTGCATGTATCAGGCCATTATTGTCATTCAAATAGAACAATAACCTCCTGACTTTTGTCATGAAAACAAACGAAGTAGCCTATGGTTGCAGGTATTGAAATAATGTTATTATTGTCCCATGTTGTTAGATGATGAGGAGATCAAAGTTTCAAAAGAAAGAAAGCACAACTGAGGTATTTTGATGTTATGGGCTTCACAAAACAAAAATAAGGAAGCTTCAAGAGTAATTAGTTAAGGACAATTATTCAGGGTGAAATGAAACAGGTACAGCTCACAGTTCACTGGGTTAAATCACAGTAGAATATTAAAAACCTCATGCTTAATCTTTTGATGAAAGAAAAATTCTCCCCCCAAAAATTATAGCATTTGAATTTTCTCTTGCACCATTAATAAGCCATATCTAATCTGTTGCATATTATGTTTTATGAACATGCACGTGTATTTATAACAACATGTAAAGCATGTAGGTACAGCATGTAAATCACATTGAGCGGCTTGAGAGGATATTTTTACACACTCCATATCAGTCATAGCTGACCTCTAGCGGTGCATGAGTATCATTGCAGGCAGGTACTGAATTATAGAGCCAAACTGCAGGACTCTTGTGTCTCTTTATCATGTACAGCTCATCGCCACGTCGGAAACACAGATCCGTTAGTTCTATTCCAAGCAACAGAATGAAGGAAACAGTTACGCAAAAGTACGAAAAGTTATGCATCCTGCGTCCTGTTCAAAATGAACCATATCAGTGCTTTCCATCCGAGAAACTGCCCAGAACTAATCCTTCAATTTCTTGGTCACTGACATCCTCGATTAACTGGTCAGATTCATTTTACTCTCTCTCATGTGACATGCCTTAACAAACCAGGAGCTAATGTTGTACTGCAAAACCATCTGTTGTTTAAAAAAATGACATTTCAAAAGTTGTCAAAAATCATATGGTTTATCTTTAAAGTGTTTATCGTAAGATAGGAGCATTAACTTACAATAAAAAAACAATTACAAAACTGGGGAAAACCCTTTTAAAAGGTTCTAATTAGCTCCTATTGGATACTTATACTGTATGGTACAAATAGTGTATCCTTTTGTAACGCCCCATTCACAGCTTTTATGCCAATTTTCTGAGATTGAGGCATGAATATGAATGCTAACTATTAATAAGTGATAAGGATAAGCCTGATGCAAAAATAAATGTCAAAATGAATAATAAAATTAATTTTAAAATCTTTGAACTAACAAAAAAAAAGAAGATAAATAAAATTCTGCCATGCCCGTGGTGAAATATAGCATCATTTAATAATTTACTATTTATGATATCATATTATAACAAAGTAATACAGTGTGTATAAATTGTTTTACAGTAAAATATTATTGAAAATAAGAAAATTATAAAATGCTTTATAAATAATTATTAATATAATAAATATTATTAATTATAAGTATTAACAGTTTTGCAATAGCTCAGATACAATAATATTCAAACAAAGGAATTTATTTACAGTATTCATTTTGCAGGTGTTTTACCTCTATTGAGAAATTTGCACTGCATTGTGTTGCTTCAATAGAAATGTCAGTAAAATAAATTGATCAAGTCCTGTTAGAAAATACTCTGTATAGACAGATTGTAGATATTACATAGACACATTAACAATATATACTTTAAATATCCTTTGATGCTTGTAACATTGTTACTGATTTTTTAAAGTCTACAGCTTCAAATTTTACTATACGAAATATAAAATTCCTTCAATAGGTGATCAAGCCTCAAAAGATAGTCCATCTATCCCTACATGTAACTGACATTAATGTCCAGTATATAGCCGCTCACTATTATTAAAACCAAACAATCATCCCAACACAAAGGCGGCCAGATCAAGTTCTCCAAGCTAGCGAATCCAGAAAAAGAACCGTTTTAGTTTCACAGTTATAAATGCCCTGCAATGTTCATTTTGGGAGTTACATTATTGGATTCTCCATATTATTTGTTGTAGTTTAAAGTCTTGCGAGTTTTGGGACCCCCATTTGTCTTCACAGGAGATAAGATGGGAATTTGGTAATCTTCCAGTCTGCTTTTTTCTCTATATCTAAATAGCCTATCTGTGTTATAGGCACAGTGATTAATGCTGAAGGGATTTAGAGAGGAGGATACAAATGCAGACAGTCTCTCATCAGCCCATATCAAACAGCCTGGGAGATGTTTAATATATGGATGTATTTGGTCTCCAGCTTACAGCTGTCTGCTTAAAGCTTTATTACTAAAGAATCATTGGGAGGGGGGAAAAGCATCTCTTGATAGAGTGAGTGACTAATAACTAAAGCCGACAGCGAGTGCAAAAAATGCGCTTTCTCTCACACGCGCACACAGGGCAAGTGACAAGACCGCTCTGTGTGCACAACAGAGAAGTCAAAATGTGACATATTCTTGCTGGCGGTGGGATAAAACTCAATCAACCTAAACCGTATTCCCTCAGACGAAATTACACACACACACATGCAACACACACATGTACTGTAAATTGCAAACTTAAGGTGATCTTCCGCAAAGCAAACTGCAATTTCTCATTCGACGTCCAGTATTCAGCCAAGACTATCCTTTTAATGGCTCAGAATTGAACTATTTAGTAGTGTGTGGAAGGCAAATGCCACCACTAAAATGATACCTCACCTCTCCAGGTAAAACAGCAGCCCCACAACCCTGTGCGCCGCATCAGGGAGCAGCAGAGACAGAGAGACAGATTGTGTGAGAGTTGTGTCTAATCCCCATAAGCATCAAGGCAGCAGCTGCCGTGTACAGAAAAGGGGGGGATGAAGGGATGGGGGGTCAGAGTTTGCGAAAAGAGAAACACGCTCTTCTCCAGCACTCAGTTCTGTTGTAAATGTACAGAAAAGAACCTAAATGTCTGAGAATTATCCTGATTTTAAATTAGTATTAATTGTAAGAAAGCAAAAATTAAATATTAAAGGTTATTTTAATAAAGTACTACAATTTATACAGAAGCAAAACTCTGAGAGTGCTTGTGAAAATGTTTCTATTAAAATTAATAGCTGTTTTATTAACAGATAATTAAATCTGACAACATTTATAATGTATAATAATAGCTATTATTCTGGGTGCTAGTGAAAGTGCTTCCAGAAATTTTTTTTATTTGATTTATTTATTGTTAATAAACTTATAATAAAATAAAACATACAAATAAACAGAAAGCCACCTCTTTACAACCCATCCAATATAGAAAGTGAAAATATATAGAATTAAAATAGAAATATCAGAAGCATTGAGGTATTTTAAATTTTTTTATCAGGGTTTCTTTTAGTATTTTCAGTGCAATCCCAGTCTTTTGGAGCCGACTGTTTACGTTATGTGATTTCGCCTTGACCCCAAAGCTTCTACACACAGTGAACAGTGTGATATAGATCAGTGTGCAGAATTTGCAGGACTCTACCGTCGCAAGATAACACGCGGTGACTGTACATCGTGGCAGCTCAAGTCTATCAGCTCCCAATGTTCAATCCGCCAAACCCACGTTTTGAAACGGACTTGTACACGACAATGGAACAATTGAAACACGGTGCGATTCTGCAGACATCTGATAACTTCCCCCCCGTTTGATAAAGAAAAAAACCCAGACAAACAACGCTGTTTACTGCCTGGACACGTTCTGAGCGAGCAGGGATTTTTTATTTTTTTGTGCGTTCTGTTTTTGTTTGCACTCCTCGGCGCCGCGGCCTCGTCAATCTTTCAGCGCTCAAGCTGTTTAAAAGGTGGACGATTTATGGTTAACCAGTCATGGCAGACGGAGCTGAGGTCACACCATATCAGCCAGTGACAATGGCTATTGTTTGTGAGCTCAACAGGAAGTGGCTGTGTGGGACTTCCTGTGGCTGATATACCTAGTGTTGGACGGAGGCGGGGTGGCAGCCCCGTGGCCGATCACATTGTTCCAGGTAGGATCTCATGGTAATGCTGGTCTCTCGGGACGATGTGTTTTCCACCAAAGTGGTCCAGTCACACAACCTTAATATAGAGCTGAATACAGATCCATCAAAGCCAGTGTAATCTAGAGAGACACAAGCAAAAAAAAAAACCAATTATACATTCACACCATGATTTACACTCATTAAAATGACATTTAGGGTCATAATAGTTTATATGCAAAAGAAAAATAATAAATTATGTCAGGTTTATTCAGGAACATCATCAAAATTCTTTATGAAAAGAGAATGACTGCAAATATTTTTCAATTTGAAATTTTTAAACTTTCCTGCTAAAGAGTACCTACAGCATGATGAAAATAATCTTTTTTAAGCTGTTTGGACAGAAATGTGTGTAGGTATAGTGTGTCCACAGTCATATTTGGGTAATATAAAGACAATAAGACTCTTTTTAAAAAATTTTTGACAATAAGATCTAAATCCCTCCCATTTTGAGGCCCACTGCAACGTGATGTAGGAGAGCAGTTCTCCCGCCCACCAAATTGATTGACAGCCGCATAGTAACATGTCTCCGTAGTAATGCGTATAATCATATCAACAAGACAGGATGTGCGCAAAGCAACTGGGATTAAAATATCTGTTAAGATCTCTGTGATCATCAACTAGCATTAAAGGCACAGGCAACAAAAACAGCTACATGGTGTCCAGAGCAGAAAATTCCAATATTCTGAAAGGTATAATAAATAATCTGATACTGTAGGTGTTTTGAGCTGAAACTTTACAGACACATTCTGAAGACACAAAATACTTATCCTAAATCTTGAAAAAGAGATAAAATAGGTGCCCTTTAAAAGACTTGATGATTATTTTTACAGTTGAAGTCAGAATTATGAGCCCCTCTGTTTATTTTTACCCCAATTTCTGTTTAACAAAGAGAAGATTTTTTTCAATACATTTCTAAACATAATAGTTTTAATAACTCATTTCTAATAACTGATCTTTGCCATGAAGACAGTACATAATATTTGACTAGATATTTTTCAAGACACTTCTATCCAGCTTTACTTCAACTTTTAAAGGCTTAACTAGGTTAATTTGGATATCTGGGCAGGATAGGGTAATTAGGCAATTTATTGTATAACGATGGTTTGTTCAGGAGACTACTGAAAAAAATATAAAGCTTAAAGGGGCTAATCATTTTGTCAGACATACTGTGAAAATTTGAGGATAGGGTAATTAGGCAAGCTATTGTATAATGGTGGTTTGTTCTGTAGACTATCGAAAAAAAATAGTATAAAGGGGCTAATAATTTAATTTAAAACATATTTTGGGAAATATTTAAAAAAGAAAAAGCATTCAAAGGGGGGCTAATAATTCTGACTTTAACTATACATAAAAAAGGAAATCTACTTTTTCTGACCTGCACTACTCACACACAGTGTATTTCCACATTATGATCCCAATTCCAAACTACTAATTTATTTTCAATAACTACTGTTAATTTTGTATATAAACATTAATGCATGTGATGTATAATGTTTAATAAGGACTGTTAGGAATTAGAAACGCCATATATTTCAGGTTAATATGATTTAAGGTTTACATGCAGATTACAAGTACAATCGCCTCGAAATGAGATGTAAATCACACAAAAAAGTGAAAATAATTTCAAGAGTTCACACTTAGCTAATGATTGATTACAAAGCTTGTTTGGCATGCCAAACGAGGTAACACGTGGGAAACCCACGTGAGCATGGTGAGAATGTGTTAACTCCGCACAGAAACGTCGGCTGGCTTGGTAAGGACTAGAACCAGTGACGTTCTTGCTATAGGCAACAGTGCTAACCACTGGGCCACCGTGTCACCCATCTAGGAAAGGAGGAGTTTGGGTGGAAGGGGGGATTCTCAAAAATGAAGATGGCTGTTATGTGGAATCTAGGGTATTTATAGTGGCTTAGGAATCATCTGATTGGTGAATCATAAATTGGACAATGAGGGACCAGCCGCAAGCAATCATAAGCACGTGATCCTCTCGAAATTACGTTATAAATAAACTTCATATAGACCTTCATGATCAGTTATACAATATATGTTTATTTTCACAAGAGCTACTATTATACCATTAACTTACATTTAATATGCATTACATGTTCATAAAATCACTTTTACTATGATGCAAACACTAAAAATGAAATGTTTTTGATTTGTATACATTTAACATCATATATGTCGCTGTTTAAGGTCAACCCGTTGACACTTTGCAGGTTCACTCTAATATTACATTTATTTATTTCATTTTACGCTTCCAGAAAGAAAACTTTGATCATTCCTTTCAAAGGAATTTCTGCATTCACCACATTTCATAATGCAACATTCCTCAGCGACGAGACCCTTTGACCGCTAAAGTGCGTCTTCGAACACCAAAAGGCTTTAACCCACAAAACTGGGTTTTTTGTTGGCAGATTGCAGCTTTCACACCCACATTAGCTGCAACATGCGGTTGTTCGGCGGATCCACTCGAGAACAAATGCCTGGGAATTTTCTGCAATAACCCCCCTGTCCAAAGCCATCCCGAAGGGCTATCACGGGGGTGCTCAGAGACATATTTACTCTCATGCCTCCAGCGAGGCCTGGTTCTTCACAACAGCACCTTTTGTGGCAAGCATTTTTCTATTAACCTTTAAAGAATGGAAGAGGATATAAAGAATGGGACAAACAGACCGTGTTGGCGGGCAGTGTTAACGTCGTGCGACAGATGTGCAGATGGTGTGTTACAGTAAGAGATCAAGGCAAGAGAGGGAGAGAGCTTTTATACGCCACTCAAACACTCCTCAAGCCTTTAAAACTCCTCCAACCCAGATTCAGCTCACCAGACCAACTGATTTTCAACGCAGGAGATCTGACGCTTGAGTGTGGCCATATTGACGGCCGTTTGTTCTCGATAAGAGCGCAATCTTAATGAGAGAAATCAGGCTCTTTGCTAAAAAAAAAAAACAAAAGTCGATGTGTTGGTTTGATAAAGGCCTAACGCAGGAGACGTTTTACACCTCTGCTGACCAAAAATAAGCATTTTTCTTGATTCATTTGACACAAAGAACGGAATATTTTTCGGTCAAAAGCAACCACATCTGTTGACTGCTTGTGAGTCATTCAGCTTTGCCTATATATAGTGCGGCATCTGACGTTTCCTAGCATAAACATCCATTGGGTTTGTTTGTCATACCTCTAGTCTAAATGGGGGAGAGCTCTTATGAGGCAGACTGTCCTTCTTCGCCTTTTGGGACAACTGCCAAACGTAGGGAACTAAATATGGCTGGCTGCTGTCACAGTAATTCAGTTATGGGTGTATTAACATACAATGGGTGTGATTCATTGAAGAGAGCCTCAACTGAGCTAATAAGTATGATTCACTTGTGTTTTCACTCAGCCGTCTAAACCGGTCGCTGAATGGTGAGGAGCGTTTGTAGAGATGAAACTCTATACAGAAAGTCTTTAGCTTGGTTGCAATGGTGTTTAGGTGTAAATGAAAAACATTCTTTCTTCTTGTTAGTTCCGAAGTATAGAATGCGTATCCAGACAATGTTCATGGTCCAAGAAGAAAAAACTATCCAAGTTTTGCCATCTTTCCAGTCTTTTCTGATCCAGCAGGTTGCACCCTGACTGAGTATTTTTAGATTTCTATAGTTTTTGAAAGAAAGTTATAGGGAACTAATCTGCTATTAAGTTGTCAGGGCATTGCAAAGTCTCTATTATACTGTTTTGCTCATAGACACACAGTTAGTACAGTCTCTACAACTTGCTAAATTAAACTAGCTCTCATTAAGCTGTTTGATACAAAGGTTACATATATGCCAAAAGGGGGAAATACGAGCATATGCAAAAGGTCCTGTAAATGATTTGTAATAGACCTATAATAGAAAATAAAATTTGAAGGAAAAAAATAGAAACTTGGTTCAAATTTGGTTGGAAAATTGAGAATTTAGGGATTAAATACAAAACAAAAGCCACTGTTCCCAAAATCTTTTATGCACCTTTTACAGGCCACAAGACTGTAAAAAAGAAAATGGGTTCTACACAATTTCGTCATGTTGTCCCAGCACAAATGTAAATGTTAAGTTAGTGTAATCGTTTTTACAAATTTAAGTGGATTGAACAAAAAACATTTAAGTTGTCCCCCCAAAAACGTAAGAATGGTTTCAACTCATTTTAAATTCTTATTTAGAGTGTAGATAAATATATTCATTCATTCATTCAATTTCTTGTCGTCTTAGTCCCTTTATTAATCCGGGGTCGCCACAGCGGAATGTACCGCCAACTTATTAGCAAGTTTTTAAGCAGCGGATGCCCTTCCAGCAGCAACCCATCTCTGGGAAACATCCACACACACATTCACAAACACACTCATACACTACGGACAATTTAGCCTACTCAATTCACCTGTACCGCATGTCTTTGGACCGGGAAACCGGAGTACCCGGAGGAAACCCACGCAAAGGCAGGGAGAACATGCAAACTCCACACAGAAACGCCAACTGAGCCGAGGTTCGAACCAGCGACCCAGCGACCTTCTTGCTGTGCGGCGACAGCACTACCTACTGCGCCACAGCCTCGCCCCAGATAAATATATATAAACAGTTATTATAAATAGAAACAATATTTCACATTGTTACCAATTTTATTGCATTTTTGATTAAATAAATGCAAGTTCAGCAGAGAAACTTCAAAAACATACAAAAAAGAGCCTTCCAATCTCAAACTTTAAAAACAGTAGTCTGCATGTATTTATACTGTATATGTATTAATTATTTTAATAATATTGGTTTTCCACATGTCCTTCTATCACTTAATGTCTGCCATAAAAGAAAAAAAAAAAAACAGATCCCTAAACTACACTATTTCAGATACATCATGTACTGTGTATTGGTACGCTTTATGATGTATCCCTTAAAACCCTTTGGGGTGATATCCCTTGATATTGAAAAAAGTTGTTTTGGATTACACTTGCTAAATTAATACAAGCAAATGTGCAATGTTGAAGGAGTTAAATTACACTATTGTGATATAGTTGAAGTCAGAATTATTAGCCCCCCTTTGAACTTTGTTTTCCTTTTTAAATATTTCCCAAATGATGTCTTAACAGAACAAGGAAATTTTCACAGTATGTCTGACAATATTTTTTCTTTTGAAGAAAATCTTATTTGTTTTATTTTGGCTAGAATAAAAGAAGTTTTTGATTTTTTTAAACAGGACAAAATGATTAGCCCCTTTAAACTATAGATTTTTTTTCAATAGTCTCCAGAACAAACCATCGTTATACAATGACTTGCCTAATTACCCTATCCTGCCCAGATATCCAAATTAACCTAGTTAAGCCTTTAAATATCACTTTAAGCTAAATACTGTAGAAGTGTCTTGAAAAATAGTTAGTAAAATATTATGTACTGTCATCATGGAAAAGATCAAATAAATCAGTTATTAGAGATGAGTCATTAAAACTATTATGTTTAGAAATGTGTTGAAAACAATATTCTCTCCGTTAAATAGAAATTGGGGTAAAAAATAAACAGTAGGGGTCATAATTCTGACTTCAACTGTACATGTAAGCATACCTGATGTAAACTCAACGCCTTTGCTCCTGAACGAGCAATAGCTGCATTTTGGGTGTATTAATAGTTGGTGTCAGCGAGTGTAAGAAGCTGGGAGGATGTGGAAATGTTGTGCGTTTGGGCTGGGACCTGTGTCAGTCTCTGGCTGGGTCTCTGTGAGTCAGGCAGGCTGGCGTTGGGGGCATGAAGGAGCTTCTGCAACGGGCCGCCCAAACCCTGAAAGAGCTCTTTGTGTCCCGCTCTATTTTCACAGGAAACGGCTGCCCTTTTTCATCTCCTATGGGGAATATGTAACTGTGGTCACCTAATCAAACTTAACATAGGGAGAGGGGGATGGAGAAAAAGAAAGAATGAAACTGTTAACCCGGCAGCTACAGTTTAGCAAAACACAGACACACAATGGCTTGTTTATGTCCTTCTATAGATCCTTTTCTCTTTCTCCAATTCACTTCAGTCTTGCTTTTCATAAATCTAGCCGTGATGACAGGCTGTTATTTTATTGGCACTGAAGATAGGATTTTCTGAATAGAATGGCATACTATCATACTATGCTTTATGTGAAACAGTATGAGAGCTAAATAGTATGTACAAATTCAGTAGGCAAAAAGTATCTGGATGGCCTATCCGCTAAGTGTGGCTTCCGGGTCAAAGCGCTATAACAAACTGTACAGGGAGGCTCAACAAATGGTAATACTTTCGGAATTCATGATCGCAATAAATACATGCATGCCTAATGTCAGATGGCCAGAAAGTGATTTTTTTTTTTACAAATTGTTAAAATATTGGTTGTGTACACCATGATTTGATATAAAACTCACTTTAATATATGATATGACTAAAAATTTTTCATAAATGAATATTTTCTCAATTCAAATCAGTAGCAGTTTGGACCCAGTCCTGGAAACAGTATTCCTATATGTCATGACTAATGACTTAAGAGGCGGGTAGATAATTTAGAGAATATAGGAAATTGAAGCAACCAGTAATGACAAAACTTACTTTACAAACAGCCGTGAAGTAAATTCAAAGCCAGTCATAATAATTACTCAACTAGTATGCGATTTCAAATGCAAACAATCTCTTCATGATTTTGCTATATATATATATATATATATATATATATATATATATATATATATATATATATATATATATATATATATATATATATATATATATATATGTATGGGCTCTCATGTAAATCAACAACAATATCATGAGATTTAGAGCAATGAATTGTTTGTATATGCATTTTATAAAGGTAATCTACTCTACTTTTGTAAAAAATATAGCTAACTGATTAAGTTAAATTGAGCTTTTCATTTGTATCCTGACTATATACGGTATGTAATGGTTAATGCATCTAGAAGTTAAGCAATCTAGGATATTCAAAATGTGCAGGAAATCTGATGCCATTTTTTTAAAAACTGAAAGCTCCTATTGATTATTTTGGCAAATGCTGAGATCGTAAAATCCTGAAGGGAGGGACAGGATAGGTAGTCTTAATTTAAACATCAGGAAATGCTGGGGAGGGTTTAAAACCTATCCATTCATTTAAAAACACACAGACGGCTCTCTTGAGCTTAAAATGAGAGACTCCCTCTGATACTCCATCAGGGATTAGAACCCCAAATTCAGACCCTTGGATTAATACTCTGCCAATCCAGACTGAGATGCAGAAAGAGAAAGTTGGAGAAAGAGAACAACCAACACGAGCCAACGGTATTATGGTTAATGTCTAGAGTAGCTTTTATACTGCACAGAAGCCACATCAGAGCAAATATATCATGTATTTACACAGACGCACTGAGCAGAATGAACATATTTGCGGATTTACAATATTGTAAGCAGATGATCACATGCAGATGTTGATGGTTGATCGGCATGTACAAGGGATTGAATATAAGTCTCAGTGCACAAGGCTTTGCAGTGCTTTCCGAAAGTATACATTTTTGCTGCAGTATAGTTGTGAATTTTTATTTCCATTAAAAAATGAATAAATAAATCACAATTTCTCTATGAATACTTTTAAAAGCTCTTAATAAATTACATTTTAAAAATATTCACATAAATATTTAATATTTAAATTAAAATATTAATATTTTTGAATACAGCAAATAATTCAAATCTTCATGAACATTATAGATTTTTTTTCTTTCCAAATCATGGCCTTATATCATACTATATATTGTAAATTTTAAAATTACACATAAATAGAAAAAAATCTGTTTAAAATGTAACGTTTTACATGATAACATTTATATTTTATTTCTATAGCGCGTTTACAATGTACATCCAGCCATAGAACAATTCCGCCATGGTATATCTTAGTATTTTTACATGCTGCGCTGTCTTTCTTTTGAGTATTTTCAAATGCCATAAATCAATAAAATCCGTACATCCCCAGCTTGAAGTTTATGCATGTCATAAATCAATATTAACTAGTTTAATAGCTTAAAAGTGCAAAACCACAAAAAAAAGAATCGTTTAGTTTTCTTTTTTTAACTATATATACAGAAATAACACAAATGTCAAGCTTAAACTTGTCAATGTAAAAAAGATGCATAAAACACATTGAAACTATATACAACTGATTTAGACTAATTACATAAATTTGTTTCATTTTTGTTTCAGATTTGTTCATTTTTTATAAACAGTGTTGACACAACAATTCGATTGATCAACAAAAAAAAGTTAACTAATTTAATAAACACTATTGTAAAAATGACACAATAATTTATCAGAATTTATTCATATAGAGGGGCATTCAATGGTGAATGTGAATGGATTTTTAGTTGTGAGGTAAAAAAATATATTAACATTTTACTTTTAAAGTAAAATGTTTTTTAAACTTGTTTTACATTCAATCCACTTAAACTTAATAAATAAACAAATAAACTTAAACAATAACTTAATCAATTTGTGTCGAGACAACATGAAGGAATAGTGTGGAATCCTGCATTTTAGTGTGTAGATGGAGAAGAAAAAAAAAATCCATAACAATATTTCAGATAGTGGAACAATCCAGCAAATCAGGTAAGCAGTAGAATAGTGATAGAATGCTGGTGTAGTTCTCGTTAAATTCTAGAAAACTAGGGGTCTTCATCAATAACTATAAGAAACAATAATTATAAATCTCTTCAAATAATTGTAAAAATGATTTTACAATTTTACTATTTTTGTGTATGCATTAATGTTTTAATTAATGTTTCCTCTGGTATACCTGATCTCCACTTAATGGCATCCTTGCTAATTGCTGAGGCCTGGCTCATGGTGGATTTTAGAGGGACTACAGACTGCCAATTTGCCACAGAGAACAGCACTAAAGTGGGCTGATAAATGAAGACAGTCAAAGATGAACAATGAGCATACTCAAAAGAAAGCAAGAAACTTCAAAAGTCACAAAAAGAAACCCCTTGACACCCTTGAGTGAGTCTATGCTAGATTTCACATGAGGGACAAAAGCGTCAGATCTTATACAGAAATGGTCTGGTGATTGAAGTGAAAAAAAAAAAAAATGAGCACCTCTTCCTCCCTCTGTCCTAGCGCTGGCCTTGACCTGCTCCCCTCTGTGTTCACAGTCTATGTGCACGGCGGCTTCACAACTCTCTTCTCTCTCCCAGATGAATAGGACCCAGGGACTTTTCCTCTGACGGACAAAGCGTGAGGAAGGCGTAAGTGCTGGCTGTCTGAAACAAGGTTACACGGGTCATTCTTCAAGCAATTAAGAACCGTTTTGTCTCATTCATTTTAAAGAAATGCCATATACTGTATACTGTTTCTTTAGAAACTACTGCTATTGTCCAAATATTGTGGCATCAAGCTACACAGACAGTTTCTCCCCCTCTGTAAGAGTTATTGGTGATTTAATTGAAGATTTTTTTTTTAAAGTGGAAAAGCAATGAAAGTGAAAAAAGTTTTGAGATGAAGTCGGTAAAATGGAAAGTAAGAGGGAGAATGAGTGTTGGATGAGCAAATTGAAGAGGGGAGACGAAAAGAGGTGCTATGGAGAGAGAGGAGGAGGAGGAGGAAGGCAACACAAAGTCCCATGGCTGCCTCGGGGCATTGTGCAAAATTGATGGAGGGGATGAGAGACCACACACACACATGCACACATACACAAAGCACCTGAGACTCCAATCTCAGACCTCTATCTATGTCTGTGCATTTTCTCTGTAACCTTTAAAGGCAACAATACACCATGAAGAAAGCAGAACTCAATTTCTTTCCAAAAATTAAGTTATATTTTTTTAAAAATGTATTTGAACATGCATAAAAAAACAAAAACATGTAGCATTAACAGCAGTTCAGACAAGATATGTTTTGTTTGTAAATCATTGATTATATATATTAGTGTATACATTGGTCAAGTGTATTGGTGAATAGGACAAACAAAGCTTTTCCGTTTGTGTTCAGTAAACATTACCATCTTAAGGCTTTAAAATGAGTAAATGATGATAAAATTGTGATTTTTGAGTGATTTATTCTTTTAACAGTAGTAGTTAAGCTGTTTGCCCCAGGATATCCGGTTTGTAAAGACAGTTAAAAAGCCTGGTGGGAAAACAATTCCACCAGCATCCAAAACATGGCATATGCTGGTCTTTTCAGTTGGGAAATACTTACTGTCACTTTTTCAGTCTCTCCTTACGTTTTTTTTTTTGTTTTTGTTTTTTTTTTTTGTCTGATTTAAGGTAGACTCAAAGCTGTAGTGTTGATCTGCTGGGAGTTAGACAGCTTTGGGAAATTCCTCCATAATTCTGTGAATCTTCTGTGAAGATTTTGAAAAATAAAATACAATTTTTATTTGAAATTTAGTGAACTGTTATCTGACATTAGTAAAATAAAATGCATTACTTTTTGCTTTAATAATTGCATTTTACTCAAACCCATACCTAATAAATTCTGTCCATTTTGAAGAACTGGGAATTTAATTGGTATTTTTTCATAGCTGCATATAAATACCATAATAGCACTTATTGAATTTATATTTTTATATGTAAATTAATATATTTTTAAATATCATTACTACTTTAGTGTGCATCCATTCTGCATCCTAAACTGAAGGCATCGCATAACCCATTGTAACATTTTTGTTTTGATCTTAAAGTATTTAATATTATTCTTGGATCATTTGTGTATTGTTGATTTGAAGCACCCTTAGTCAATTACATAAGTGCATCATTCTTATTCTTGATTTAAAATCACAAACATTTTTATGGTTCATTAAAGGTTTATTGTGCACTGGGCCAAAAGATTTATTTACTCCACGAAGCCAATTTTTGTATGTGAATTCGGCGCTTTGCCAACATTAACTCTGGTTAGAGACCTATAATGCTGTAAGTCAGTTTGTTATCAGGTGAACTGCACTAAAAATCTAGAGAGAAGCCTACTGGCTGCCCTCTGAGACTGGCTAGGCAGTAAATCACCATATTGTGAAACCGAGCTTCGTATTCTCTCATTTCCCTCCAAAAACAAACACTACAGAATGGTCCACCACTAAAGACAATGTGCATTTGTCCAGCCGAACTCTTTAAGATTCAATCTTAGAGTTTGAATATTCAATGCCACAGAACAGCTCTAGTGCTTAGCATTAGCAATTAGCGCTAGTGAGCAGTACGGTCATTAGCTCTTGTGCACAGCAAGAGAATGGGATCTTGCTTCTGTGCCGGCATGTCCTGGCGCGCGTTAATGCCCGCTGGTTGAAATGCCCCATGGCTCCTTGACTGACATAGCGATGGTTTGCTGGATGGCTGAGCTGGCACAGAGACGGCCAGTCTGAGTCACACTAAAAGAGAGAGACTGACACACACAAACGCCGCTTACACACCAACCTGGAGCAAAAGTGGCCGCGCCAAACCCCTGAAGAGGCTTACTCAACTAGCGAGACTTCTTTCTCATTTGTTCATCCAGATCCCAGTCATGGCCCCCCTCTCTGTCCTCTTGTCCTGAACCGTATCGGGCCCCCCGCGCTCAGACAAGGCCCCTGTTGATGGAGGTGATTGGGAAGACGCTGAAACCGCTGCACTTTCAGGAAGGCCCAGGGAATCAGAGCCACAACCAAGTCATCTGTTAGCAATCGAGCAACGGGGCCTGATATTAAAGAGTCATGCGGGTCACAAACCAAGGTCTCTACACCCCATAAGGAGCCCTACTGTTTCGAGACACTACTTTCCAGCTGCACATTTTCATCGGGCGGGTATTGGAAAAATCACTCTATAGTACATTTAAGAGAAAAGACCTTTGTAATGACGTAAAGGTAATTATGGTAGCAGTGGGTGGCTTGAGTGGTTTAGAAAACCCAAGGAACAAGTTGCGATGGTGAGTTTTTATGTTTGTAAACACTTCCAAGTAGCCAAGTAGCAAGTGACGGACGCTTTCAGACCAATTTCTGATCTGCAATCCAAAGAATATTCAAGGTAATTTTGTGTATGGATGGAGGGAAATGGTCAAAAGGATGGAAAAATTTGAGAAGTTAAGTTGCCGTCCCTGACAGGAGTTTATGGAAAATGAGTGAGGCGTGATTCTTTTCCTGCACCACTGCAAGGCCGACTTAAGCCTCTGAATGTAAAAAAAAATGGGATAAAACTTCAGCAAAAGCAGATAATGTGAGAGAAGAGCGGATAAACGCAGATCTAATGTCACAACAACGCAGCACAAAAACGCGTCAAGGGCCCAAAGCCGCTCTTCATCAAACCCTGTTATTTAAACATTTAACGCAACAGTGGAGGGGAGAGGCAGGAGATGATGATGATTTGCGATTTAATGATTCCATCACTGTATTAGGGGATTAAGATGTCCGTGGAAATAGATTAGTTCTACATCCATTTTCACTCTGACTGGCAGAGACCCAAAAAAGCTCAGAGATGGAAATATGAAGAATGAGGCGTGCTGTGACAGATGGAGCGCAAGTGACCTGAAGAGCGCCAGTTAGAGCACTACCGCCACCTGCTGGGGATAATGGGAATAAATCACCCTCTGTAGCTAGGATAAAAGAGTTGGAAGTACAAATGAAAATTCTGTTATGATTTGCCCACCCTCGTGGGCTTTCAAATCCTATAAGTTGTTGTTTCCAAATAGAAGAATGAGAATTAATGAAAAGCAGACTTTTATATCAAAGCCATTAAGATGAAACCAAATGAGAATATCATTCTTTTCAGACAGTAGTTTTAACAAAGCCTAATCTGGGGTTCACAAATGGAACTGAATGACTTAAAGTTCAACTCACTGATTCAATGATTGAGTTATGATGGATCTTGAGGGATATCATTCATCTCCTTCGCCTTAGTTCCTTATTTATCAGGGGTCACCACAGCAGAATGAACCGTCCTTCAGGGATATCTGTAAATAATCTTAAGTAATTTTGATCTGTTACACAAAGCAGCAATCACATCTTTTAGAATATTATAAGACTTAGAAAAAACATCTTATTATCTAAAATATCTGAAAGCACATTGTATCTAGACTTGAATTTGGTCACTGAGTGCACACACACTCAACCATACTCAGTCATTTTCAGAGATGACAAATGTAAACATCTTGACCACTGCCTTCATAAACTCAACAAAATGTGTATAATTAGTTGTTATTCTTTTAACTTAAAGCTGAGAAAAAGAACAATTGTCGGTGCTAATAGGCTAGTGGCTAAGTGTGCTAACTTATAGCACCATGGTGCTCACGGCGACCAGAGTTCAATTCCTGGCTCAAGGTCATTTGCCGACCCTTCCCCTACCCTTAGACCAAACCCCTATAAATATCAAAAGTTGTCCTACCTCCATTATCTCACAATTTAAGCATCCCTCCACCACCCCGACACCTCACCTCTTAAACATTATTTACCCAGGGGAAGCATTCTGCGGCCAGGCTAGACACTTCACTCAAACCCCAATGTCTCCTTCTTTCCGGATAAGGGGAATAACACGAGTTGGGGTGTCTATCCCAAGCTCAGAACCCTCGTCCTGGACAGCACACCAAATACGCTTCATTCCTAAAACATCTTTAAGTGTGAACTCGTGAAATACTATAAGTGGAAGTTCAATCACAGTAGATTTTACCAATCAGAGGATAGTTTAAAAAGAACAAATCTTTAAACTAATCATTTGAGACTTACTAAGAAATAAAAAGACTGAAATATTAATTTGAATACATGTTTTTTGATCTCGGATGCATGTAAACCTATTGTTGGAGACGATCAAAACAAAATGAGCAGCTTTTTTTTACAAGGCCACACATACTCTTATGTTAAAACTAAAGTGCGTCTGTCAAATGGACTACTTGCTGGACATTTTTGAGAAGATTCTTCAAAAATATCTGCTCTATTTTTAAGTGAAGAAAGAAGGTCATTATGTTCAGAACAACATCAGGGTAAGTATGTCCAGGCTATCGTCAGATTGCACACCCAGAGCATGGTCATTCACAGGCCCCGATAATCAAATTGAGGCTGCAAAGTGTTGCGGAAGCGAGGGAACTATTATTAAATGATCAAATCTTCAGTGCTGACTCGTTCTTCTCAAAGCCATCAACTATAGCGATCTCAAGTCATTATACTTCGGCTTATGCAAGGTTTAATTACAAGAGCGTGACCCTCCTTCTGCCAATGCTGATAACATCAGCGATGTGGCGGTAACGGTCACATGCTTAAACATGCCGGGGCTCAGGAGTCAATTAGTCCGGAGAACAAAGGGGACTTAGAAGGAGAAAGGAAAAGACAAATAGAAGACGAATCCTGCAAAGGAAATAAACATCAACTTGAGTAAACGAAGGGGGGGAGAAACAGATGCAAAAGGAAACAACGCAAAAGTGGCTGTAAGTTCATTAATTAGAATTTCAAATCGGACAAACTTGAGATGACAGCAGCGCGCTTGTCAAATCAGATCATGGCCTAGCAGAGCGGAGAACCTCCCGGTGCTTGGAGCCAAAAACAGGAACAGCTCATCGCAAACAGCTTCCTGGGGACTGTGTGTGTATATGTGCGTAAGTGTGTGTGCAATTACTGCAGCGTGTAAGCCGTCTTCATCGCCTCTGATTACTGCGGCCCGCCTTTTTCCCGCCTGTCCGCCCCGAGATGTCACTCTCCCCCTAAATGAGAAGTGACAATTAAAACATTCTCTTAAGGCGCTCCAAATCAAGACGTGCTGGCAAGGCTGGCGGAGTGCCGCTCACCACGGGGCCAAAGAGATTGAGGTGAGGGGCCGCAGAAACTGCCTGATCTGCCTGCCAGTCGTGGAATCAGGGGGTTAAAGTGATGATGGCTGTCCTCGGGTCCAGCACCAGTGGGTAAGACAGAGGAACACACCCTCTTAGGGCACCAGAGGGTTGGCGAAGAAAGAGAGATGGATGAAATTGTGTCTTAAAGGGGATGGAGGGAGAATATTAAGGACTGGATTGACTGTGTGGTGGTTTAGTTGCTGAGGGGTAAATAAAGAGAGAGTGAGAAAGCGAGAAAGATGATTGCAATGGTTTAGCTGAGTCAAGATCATTTCGAATAGCACATCTTTAATCGGTCCAGGGGCTGGGGACAAAAAACTGGTCCTTATATCACACTGGTTGATATTATTTTATTTAAATATCCAATTTAAATGTTTTGCAAGTAATATTTACATTTGATATAGGTTGAATTAATATATTTAATATTTTGTTAATTTTACTTTGTGTATATTTAACCTATGGTTTGAATAGATAAAATTTTTTAAATGCCTGTGTACTCACACCTTTTGCTAAAATGATTTATTGTCAATTTTTTTTTTTTTTACCTCTTCATATTCTCTAAAACATTTTTAGAAAATAAAAAAATGCAACCAGAAGCAAAATCATAAAAAAACTCTTCCAGGAGCACTTATAATACATACAGTAGCATAAGCTCAAAACACTTACATAAACATACATTTTTAACCAAGACAAAGCAACCACCTACATCTTTATTTGAACTATTTTGTGAATCAATCATCTCTGTTTCTGTTAATTGACATTTTGGATCTGAAAAAAATATATATAAATATAAAACTTACAAGTGAAATAATACATTATTTTTTTCTATAACCATTAGTGTGAGACAGGGATATGGATTTGAGTGTGTATGAGGGATGCAGTAGAGACAGAGAGGTTGTTTGGGCAGTTACCAGGTCAGTCAGTAGACAGCTGCAGCACTGAGGGAGATAAAGCCAAACTAGCCTGGACTCAGTGAGGCCCCAAAGATCCAGATCCAGACCCCCACACTACAGAGACCAGCGTTTCGGAGCACCGCCAACGAAGGATCCATTTCAGATTTGCCCAAACTCTTTAAAGTAGAACAGAGGTCATCCGACTGGAGAGGGTGAGAACAAAGGGGCATCTAGTCAAAGCTTATCATCGTTGCACCTTCACAAAGAAAAATAGAGCTCTTTTAGAGACCTTGGCATAAATACTGAGCAAGAGACAAGCAACATAGATATACAATATCTGGATAACAGACTCTCCGAAAAGTATTTGGACATTTTGAATAGGTTGAAAATCATTAAAATGCTTGAATGACTTTATATCAAATGATAAAACATAAATCCAAGGTGAATCTGCACGACTGAAAAAGAATAGAGTCCTAACAGATAAAAATCTAGCAACTAGAAACATTTTAGTTGAATGTTTATCCATTCATTCATTAATTTTCCTTTAGTTTAGTCCATGATTTATCAGGGGTCGCCACAGCGGAATGAACTGCCAACTATTCTGACATATGTTTTACGCAGCGGATGCCCTTCCAGCCACATCCCAGCACTGTGAAATGGATGTTTATTTAGTTTTTTATTTTATTATATCATTATTAGTTTTGCATGCTACTACTTGATACCAATTGTTCAGAGAATGCTCAAAAACTTTCCCATAATGTTTAAAAAAACAACATAAAATGCAGATTTTAAACACTCACAGTAAAAAAAAAATCTAAACATAACTGGATTGCTAACAAACTTAAAATCTTATATATTGTGATAGCACTCTCATTGATTAACATTAGATGAGGAATTTACCACGATTAATGAGAAGTAAATTTTTACAGGAATTATTAACCTTTGTTAAGGTTAGATAAAACATCAATATTCACATTATACAGTACATTAATATTAACAGATGTTCCGGATCTTAAAATTTAATCATTGATTTTAAAATGAACATGAACTAAGATTAATAAGTGCTGTAGATCCTCCTTAACAAATGAAACACTATAACAAAGTGTACTTCAATGGTGTTTGAGCTATATTTCTTTGATTTAATTATACTATGCACTGACATACATTTTTTTTAACGTGACTTAAGTGTCCAAATACATTTTGCGGCCACTGAAGATAAAGACAACAAACAATCTGACGTCCAATGCCTGAAAGGAGTGAGTGCGACAAAGCACAAGTTTCTGGATGCTTTCCATGATACATTGTTTAAGCCGAGATTTACAGGAACGTTTAGACGGCGAGTGCCCGCTGGCTTGGCGCTGTCAAGCGTTTGCAGCTTTAATCTGATCTATTATGCTGATGAGTTTGACTCCGTTCCAGAGCCTTCAGTGGCTTCACACTCACACAGTGAGCTGGCAGCCGAATCCATCACCTGCGCTGGTGAGCACACCGACACTTTGTCACTCAGTCACACCTGATCCGAGTCCAAAAGCGGGTTGTTCACACCACTTCTAGTTCACGTTCTCTCCTCGAGCCTGCCAGAGATCTTCTTTGTCTCTGGAAATTTAAGTAAGAGGAGGTGTGCTTCCCTTCCTTCCTGCTATCCTATATGTGTGTGTGTGAGAGAGTTTGGAAGAGAGGCATGAATGAATTAATGATGTCTTAAGTAAGTAGGGCATGTTATAATGATGAATGTGTGTAAAGCGTGTTCATAGGACAGCGGAGCAGGAAGTAAGCGTGAGCGAGTGGAGCTCAGCTTCAGCCCTGCAGCTTCGAAACTCTAAGAGACGCTCTCCAACAAACCCTCTCATACATCATCACAATCCACAGTCCCAGCACTGCTCTCCCTCATTCCTGTGTGCTCTCGCTCCCCCTTCGGCATACAGGAGCACTTCTACAAGATGCTTTAGGCTGGAAAGTACAGCACAACAAAACCTGAAGAGAGAGTTTAATCATAAATGACATTATTTACTCACATGCAAGTCGTTCCAAGTGTGTATGACTGACTTCCTTCCCTCAAGTGCAAAAGAAAAAGCTTAAAATTGTCCCCAGGCGCTGTTTTCTGTCTAAAATAAGCAAATATAAAGAAAGTTCTATGAGTTTGACATGACAATGGCATAATTTTAAAGTTCTTAAACCATGTGCGTGCACTAAAATTTCAAAATAAGTTTTAAAATAATTTTTTTTAAATATTTATTTTTGCTTTATTTACTACTGGTGTAGCTAAAATGAATGCTCTTATCAAACTTTTGAATATACTGTTAACAAAAGTCAACATTTAGATTAAAAAAGTTTATCAAAACATACTGAAAAATGGTTGTTGTTCATTAGTTTTAGGACAAATTATATAAAAGGTAATGATCCACTTCAAATGTTAACTTTTGTATACTACCATTTGAAATTTAGTTGAATTACATTCATATATCTTTTTAAGTATTTAATAGTTTTTCTTAAAAAGTGTACATTAAACTTTAGTGGATTAAGAGGTGCATTAAAAATGTATGTAAATATAAATATTTCTGTTACACTGTAAAACCCAACAGCCAACTTTATCAAATGAAATGAGTGTAGTTAACTCAAAGTTTACTGAAGGTTAATTCTACTCATCTTAAAAGAGTTTTGAACTCAGTGTTAAAGGTAAGGAGTTAATTAAATACCTCTACTTCAACTTAAATGGAGTAAGTTCACGGTTCTCATATAGATTAGTTTTTTAACTCAAATGGTTTGTTGCACTCGGTTAACTCAAACGGTTTGAGTTGCTTTAACTTATTGGGTTTTACAGTACTCAGTTGGTTTGAGTTCTTTTCATTTATTGGATTTTACCGTGCTCAAATTGCTTCATTTACTCAAATATATTAAGTTCACAGTACACATTAGGATTAGTTTTTGACCTTAAATGGTTTGTTGCAATCGGTTTCCTCAAACGGTTTGAGTTACCTCAACTTTTTGGGTTTTACAGTGTAAAAATAAAAGGTATTGTGGAACATCTTCAAACAATCCTGGTAAAAAGGGTCTCACAGTGTTCATCACCTGGACTGGGGTGCATTTACGAAAACCATGGTTAGTTAACTAAGGTCACAAGTTACGTCGTTACAAACATAGTTTGTTGAAGTGGCGTTTCCCAAATCCACTGTTCCAATGAACATTCGCAGTCTGCGTTGCAAACTTGTTTGCAACTACACCTCTGGAACTGTAGTTAGAAACATAGTTCCTGGCTGTGTTCTATTCCCAGTTCTTCCACATATGCCCTATTCTATTAGAATATTCTGACATTTAAACTTGGAATTATTTATTTTTTTTAAAAAGCATTAAAGTCATCTCTCTTAGGTGTAATTTGCTTTCAAAGTAGCTTTACAGTAACGTTTTAGCGATCTTCATGTTTATAATTGCGCTCCCTTCCCCGTACACTTTGACAACATTGATGTCATTTTGAACACAGCCGTGGCTCATGACGAAAGCTATAGGAGACCTATTATTTAAAAGCGGAATTTATGTTATGTCTCCAAAGCTTGTGAAAACATATACAAATATGCTCCCTACATTACCGGTGAGCTAAATTCCACTCATTTAAAGCCAAGATGATAACAAGCTGAAAGATGAGAGATTTGAAGCTGAGAATAAGGGCACTCGGAGGGCACTACAAACCTCACAATCTTCTCTCTATGACTGCAAAAGTACAAAATATCCAAAGGCAAATCTGCAAACTTAACTGCAGGAAACAAAAAAAATGCAAAAACAAACATCCCCCGTTAAGTCAAAAAACATAGGATACGTGAATGCTTTTAATTTATAGTAGGTTATTTATTAAGTATATGTACTGTATATGACATGGGTCTTCTGATTAGAACAGTTCTGCAGTGGTTTGCATTTGCCAAATTGTAAAAGTAGACTTTTTGAAAAATAAATAAACGATATTATATTTAATGATAATAATGATAATCCTCATCATCATCATCATCATTAATATTATTATTCAAGTAGGTTTTTTCATTTCCTAATAAACAATAAAAAATGTAATTTCTTAATAAATCGCCTCATTATTTATTTATTTATTTATATGATTTATATATGATATAAGTATATGTTTTAGCTTTATTAAGTGATTTTATGTTTTAGAATAGAATATGTAAAGTTCTCAATAATATTTGTAAAGGAAACGTAGGCCCTATATGTGCCAATTACATATATTTCATTTAATATGGTAAACGAGTAAAACGAGTGCATGCTTTTACCAAAACTAATATTGGATTTTTTTTTTTTTAATGCGTGTGGTTTTAAAACAATATAATTTGCACAAAGAAAATATGGGGTTCTTCTCCAAAGAATTAGTTACTCCACCCCAGTTAGAGAATCATTATGGGTGTTTTACGTTATAACTAACATGGTTCAAATGATGAATCTGCAATAGAGAAACTGCGGGTTTTAGAAAACACTCGTCACTACATTGTTCTTTTCCTAAACGATGCATCGTACTACAATTATATGTATGATAGTACAGCCATGAGTTACGTCGTTATTTGAGAAACGCACCCCTGGTTAGTAAACCAATGCACCTGATCCAAGACCAAACATGGGTTGTTCACACCAAATCTAATTCCATTCCCTTCTAAGACATGCCACAAAACTCCTGGAAAAAAAAAGTAAATGAATGCTGCCTTTTAGCTTTCCATTTAAAACCCCAACAAGTAAAACTTCCACTAAAACATTAAGCAGCAGAACTGCTTTCAACCTTGTTAATACTGTAGTAAGAAATGTTTCTTAAGCACAGAATCTGCATATCAGATCTTCAATGAATTCTTGAAGATCCTGTTTGCTGAATATTCAGCGTTGCTATCACAAGAATAAATTATGTCTTATATCATGCAATATTCAAATAAAAAAGTGCTAAATTTTAATAACCTATTGAAATGTGGCTGTTTTTACTGCATTTCACCTTAAAGAGAATTGGAAACTTCTTCCAAAAAGATGAAAACAGTTTTACACATTTAAATGAAAAACTGCTTTAACATATACAAATATGCTCTCTCTACATTAGCTGTGAGCTAAATTCCACTCATTTAAAGCCAAGATGATAACAAGCAGAAAGGTGAGAGACATGAAGCTGAGAATAAGGGCACTCGGAGGTCACTACAAACCTCACAATCTTCTCTCTACGACTGCAAAAGTACAAAATATCCAAAGGCAAATTTGCAAACTTAACTGCAGGAAATAAAAAAAAATGCAAAAACAAAACATCCCTGTATGTGACAGCCATGAAGACAAATCCAATTATTTGTGTCTCATGTTGCAAATTTGTTCTAATGGACGGAATAGGAAAATAAATAAGTGCCTGCAAAAGGAAACAAAGGGATGCGATTTCTAATTAACATGAAAGAGAGACGAAGAGACGTGTTAGTAAACCCATCTTTCATCCTTCTCCTCTCCTCAGAGTCGGCACATTTGTTTGTGCACGAATGTTGTCTTTTAGAGTAAAGCGCGTTTCCGTTTCGCCGGCAAATTAAATGTCAACAGATTTAACATCGGCTCCAATCTCGTTTTTTTTCTGGAGCATTTTGTCGATTTTATTGTTCATTAAGCGTTTTTTCCCCCCCTCTGCATTGCTTGCGCTCAAGCGGCTTTATTTGTCACATCTTGGCTTTGAAGATCACAAAAGCCTGGGACAATAATTAGGTTTAGTGTAATTACGAACTGAGCATAATGAAAGAGTTGAAGGGAAATGTCTGGCCCTATCTGCTCACTGTCTCTTTCCAGATAACCATTAATCCCACATTAGCCCTGCACTGTCACTCTAAACAACGGCTTTGAGAAAGATGGTGCGATCGGATGACCCCCGCCAGGTCACACACAAATGCTGAATGTGATATCAAAGAGGTGGGGAGAGGTCAGATCACTCCAGCTGCTGAGCAAAAACAGAGAGTTAGATCATGTCAGCAAGCCCCCTACTTTGGAAAAGACCCCAACTAGCAGAAATAATGGCAAAAAGTCATCCATACAAGTTAAAAGTCAGTGGAGATGAAAACAAAAGCTTGCGTTGACTGCTTTATATAAGAATTAGATTTGCTATAGTGCAGCTGAAACTAAATTCAGGACAGCGCATCATAATAAATATTGAGTTGTTGTTAGCTTTATAAATACCCCGGTAGCTTACCTAACACAGGGCTTTTATAGCTTTGGTGTGTCAGTGAATGTGTGACAACTCCTGAGCCGCACCTGGATATCTGCAAGCACTTTTGGCAGTCTGGAAATGATCTGTTTCCTTCAATCAGAGTACATAAACAAAACAGAGTAAAAGATTATGATGTTTGTTAGTTTGCTTAATAATATCAGACAACTAATTTGATTAAAAGAGAGAGCTGCTTATATCATGTTCTCATAATCTTTTTTAAATGAGACGAATACAATGATACCATAGACAGACAGGCAGAGAGATAGATAGATAGATAGATAGATAGATAGATAGATAGATAGATAGATAGATAGATAGATAGATAGATAGATAGATAGATAGATAGATAGATAGATAGATAGATAGAAAAATAGACAGGTAGATAGACATATTCAGAGACAGACAGATGACACAACATCATATTTACAAACACCACCAATGATCCAAATAAATGTAATAATGTTATTGTCTGTCAATGTAACACGTGGCTGCATTTGTCATGACAATGTCACGCTCCTGTTTCAGTGTCTGGATAGACATGTGGTGTGTAAAGCGCACAGATGAAACTCCAGATGGTAAGGACAGACCTGTGCAGTGTAATGCAGGGAAGAACAGCCTGGGTGTGTGGACCGCTTCCCAAAAGGCTGGATGTGCGGCTTCTGCCAGCCTCCTTTAAGACAAGTGGAGACCGCCCCAAACATATGAAGCTCAAATTACCTTTGATCAGCAGATGATTTTGTGACTTTGCCACTCTTAACAGCATCACCTCAACCCAGAGGTTTAGTCCCAATGTAGAGAGAGTGGTGAGGGAACTATGATGAGATGTTGCAGAACATAAGATTACTTTGAGCTGCCACTGGAAAGAAAAAGAGAATTTTGTTAATTGATTACTACATCAACAAATAGATAAAGTGTTAGTCCCTTAGCTCTTAATGGCATAGTTTATAAAAGTGAAAGTTCTCTAAATGAGCATTTCCTTCACAAAAGTTGTTTTGAAGAGCGTTGTAAACCAGTATTCTTTCACTTCCAAAGTATTTCCACTAACATGCCTAACGTTACCAGTTATCAAACATTTGTGTTCAACATGGAAAAAATAAACTATGCTTTTGTAAGTAACCTTGGCCAAATGCAATCAGGGTTATATGTTTACGTTAGCTTTAAAATATAAACAAAATTAGCAACGCAGCTAAAGTTATTGTAAAACTGAAGTAAACTAAATAACTTACTGTATTTCAACATCATTCCACTGTACAGAACACAGTTAACACTTTGCTAAATGAATAAAGACATGTGACAGATCACTGACGAACACGCAGGGGCATAATAACGTATAACAAACATGCAAAGTATAATAATAATAATAACAACAACAAAACATCCTCAAAAACGAAAATAACTTAACTTTAGCGCCATCTTGTGTTGAAAAGATAACGTAACACTCAAGATATTAATTTGTTTTTTACAAAAACAAAAAAATCTCCAGTGAACGACTGTATCAAGTATCTAGTTTACTTTAATGGCTGTTTGTTACGTCTTCGTTATAACTGTATAATATCCAACTTCCGCTTACAAAGCGGATTGTTTACTATCTTAGGTTAGCCGTTGCCTAGTGACAGAGCCTGTTGCCCGAGTTTGTGAACATGGTAAGTCAGGTTTCCAAACGTTTTAGATAAAAATAGATGTTTATAACGTACTAAAACGCATGCATGTGTGTGAAATGACTTCATCCATATGCTAGCAATGTAAATTTATTCATAAAATAGATTCATTTATGTTTTCAAAGTGATCATACTATTTCTCACCTTTTCTGTAACAGCCACCGAAAGATGGAAAGGTATGTTGCTTCAGTGTGTTACTAATGTTGTGTATTTAAACGCACAACATTAACTTTTTAAATATCTTCATAAATATTAATTTCTTAGACTTACACTTACACATCAAAAAGTGAAGACAAGGTATTAATGTTAAGAAATAACTTCCATTTTGAATTCAGTCTGCAAAAAAGAAAGGAGGAATCAGCAAAGCTGAAAAAGAGAGACTGCAGAGAGAGGAAGAGGAAAAAAGACAAAGAGAAGCAGGTATACCTGCAAGAAAAATCTGTCATTATTAATCTAAATTAAAAATCATTAATTAAAAATCTCTGTGTTATTTTGTCCTGTAGAAGAGGCTCGTCTCATTGCTGAGCGTGAGGAGAATGAGCGACTTGAGAGAGAGCGAATAGAACAAGAGAAGCAACATATACTTGAGTTAAAGGTCTGATGAATTTTCAAGTGAACATGCAGCTCTCAGAATTCATTGTGTGTGACAAGTTTGAACGTGATGACTGATTGACCCGTCAATGTCTCCAGGACAGGGAGCGCAGAGAGGACGAGCTAAATGAACTGCGTCACATTTTAGATGAGAATCACTTTGCAGTCACTGTGTGGGAAGCAGAATGCAGAGAAAAGTCAAAGGTACTGTAGAAGAGTTGCGTAGCTTTATTCAGATTCCCCAGTGTCTACTTGAAAGGTATTAAAGAATGATTTGATCTGGTCTTTATAGTGGGAGCGCTATATGCTTTGCGATGGCAGTCCAGACCCATCAGTGCAACCTGAAATCAACACTTACATCAGTTTGTGGAGAGATGACTCAGAAAACCAAATCCAAAAGGTCTTGGAGGAATGTGCTCTGACTCTTGAGGTAAGATCAGTACTCTGGATCTGTTGTTTGCTACTAAAATGATTCTGGTATATTAATATATTCAATATTATCAGTCCCTCCAGGAGTCCTATGCTTTTCCATGTATCTTCACAGCAAAACACAACAACTGAAGCATATAATGTCATAAGTTTTAGTAAAAGTGTCACAAAATATAATTTTAGGCCACAAATGTTTAAAAAAGTCTGAAGGGACTGTATAATCATCGCTTATGAAACATTTAGTACCTGAACATTTAATAGTAAATCTCTCTGTACTAATGTTTTAGGGATGAATGCTTAATTTTCATCTGGCAGATGATAAAACATAAATAAAATGTTTCATAACATAAAGAGCAGTCATTTTAGGTTATTATAGCTATAAGGTTTGAATTTAGACTCCTTTATTCCTGCTGATGAACTGTCAAAAAAAATTAAAAAGATTTAATCAGCCCTAGCATTTAAAGCTGTAGATGACATAACTGCTATGGAACCCCAAGCAGTTAATAATAATAATAATTTTATGTAGTATATCGGTATATTGGCTTGCCAAGCCATCATAATACTGTAAATACAAATGTTAACATTAAAACTATAAGCTGGTTTCCATAGCAGTAGTTCTGATGACATAACACGTTACAGATGGTGTGCAATGATTGATCATCAAGCATGTACAGTTAGATGCTTCATGTAAAAAAGCATGCAGTCTGAACCAGGAATTATACATAAGAAGTTTGATGCTGAGTAACAAAAATAGACATACTAAAATTTTCACTATGAAAGGAGAAAAACTAAAACTATTTATCTTGGACAGTTGGAGAAGGAACTGGACTTTCTCTTGGGTGATGGACCCGAGCCAAGCATTGCTGAGCAGTATCAAGAAACACTTCTGAGTCTACAAAATCTCATCCACTACAAACTTAACCAGGCCACTGAGGAGCTCCTGAAGGTAAGGAGTTCTGATGAGATCTGCTCTGTGCTGCTCACGTCTATTTCAACACATGAATACAGTATTAATGTGTGTTTTACTCTCCATCCAGTTTGCAAATTATAATTCCGACATCGACACTGGAAACATGCAGACCGTGGTTAAAGACAATAATATCACTCTTTGTCTGTGGGCGAATCTTAACAAAAACCCGAGGTTGATCTATATTCTTTGTTCAAATTTCGACCCGATTATTGAGATATAGGAAATAAACTTGACTATCCATGTTTCCAGGTTTAAAGGTTACAAGTTCGAGGAAGTAGGTCTGGGTTTTGAGCTGCCGAAGCCGCTGGCTGTGATTGAGGTAGCAGTTCGGATTCTTCACACACGCTATGACCATTTGTCCCACCATAGCGAGCGAGAACAGCTCCAGAAAAGGAGATCCATGATGGAGGCCATTCTTACTCAAAATACTGAGAGTTCTGCAGCAGTGCATAATGGGAAGATGGAGGGAGAGAGGGATGAGAGTGAAAGCTCAAAGCAGGTGGAGGAGTGCCATTCAGTCAGATCTGAGAGCAGGAAGAGGGTGAGTGAGGTTTTAATTATGTTTTGTAGTAGTTTGTGTTGCTGTTGTTATTATTAATGTGTGTCCATGTGTTAGAGCGCTGTGAGTGTGATCTCAGCTAAGGAGGGGAGGAAGAGCTCTTCGGTCAAGCTGTTAGAGGAAGGAGAAAGTCAAATGGAGGAAATCACCACAACATTAGAATCGGGTTTGGGTCTCATTTTCTCGCTTAATTCAATGTTGATGAGAAATCTTAATTTAATAAATAACGTCAAATTCATCGTAACATATAATTGTTTTAGTTTATATTTTACTTTGCTCATGATTGCTTTAAAAAAGTAAATTTTTTATGTAACCTTTGCATTTATTTATAACAAAACCACAATAAAAACTTAAATAAATAAATAAAAAACATAAACAAGATGTTTGTGCATTTTCACAAAAAAGTTTTAAGTTAGTAGGCCACAGATAAATATATCCTGGAGGGATTTAAAAATTCAATTTTTTTTAACTAAATATTTAAAAATTCTATATTTTCAGTTTCAAAGTTTGTCAATTTATGTGTTTTTCTTAATTCTGTTTTTTATCTCTTTTAAACTTTCATTTAGTTCAGCTTTAGTATTTTCAGTACTTCATTTTAAACTGTTCATCTAAAGTTTATATTGTATTAGTCTAATTTCAATAAAATTTCAAATTCATTTTGTGCATCTCTGGTAATTTACATTATACTGCTGTGTATATATAGTAATATACTCTCTAAAATGCAGTTAATAGTTGCTTACTGCTTCATTAAATTGTCTCTAGATCAACATGACCCCTACCCATCACCTGCTGAACCGGTGACTGACACTGATGTCCATATAGTGGATCTGCAGCAGTTCACACCTCTTGGTGGAGTCTTTTACTTTGACCTCTTCCACATGCCGCCCCAGTCTCGCACAGTTAAAGGCTGGGAAATGAGAGAGGTACATTTTGAGATGGAATCCTAGGTGTCACAGACAATGAAACACATTAATCTTAATCTTCTGATGTGTTTTATCAGTTATTAGACACTGGCCTCCAGGTCTTCCCCTATCCCACAGAGCAGTCCCGCATTCAGAGCTCTACCTCAGTGAAGCTGGATGAACACAGCAATACTACTGTAGCTTCATTGCCTGTAGGGGTCACTGTAGCTCTGCCTCACTCAGTTTTGTTTCTGGAAGATCCGCAAGTGGCACGTTGGGATCCTATTGGTGAACATTTCACATCACATTGCATATGAATAAATGAACACATTGCTGTTCAGTTTATATTTCAATATATCTCTTATACATGTTTTTCTGCAGGTCAACACTGGCGGACAGACTGCATTTCTGAGACATCTTATGATGCAGAATCCCGCACCATCTCTTTTCAGATGACTGCATTCTATGCCTTCACGTTACTGCAGGAGACATATGCTAATATGCCTTTCCAGTCATGGGAGCTGAGACCTCTTGGCCAAGACTCAGCACTGTTCACAATCACTGGAGCTCTAATTGAAGTCAGCATCACAGTCAAGGCAAGAGAGGCTGTCCAAACATTCACATATGTACTTCACTTTATTATATAATCAATGTATATATATATAAAAATATTAATGAAATGTAAATTAAATTCATTTTCATCTTCATGAGGTCAATTCTTAACATTAATAACAAACTTAGTTGTCTTTTACAATAAAGCATAGGTCTCAAACTCAGTTCCTGGAGGGCCACAGCTCCAGCCCTAACCAACTTTCAACTAATAATCAAGGTGTTCAAGACTACTATGGACTATTAAGCAGGTGTGATGAGGTTGTTGGAGATAAACTATGCAGAGTTGCAGCCCTCCAGGAATTGAGTTTGAAACCATTGCATTATAGTAAATACTTTCATTTAACCAGTTATTTCAATCAGAATACTATGAACCAGGGGTAATCAGTCATGTCCCTTTAAAGCCACAGTCTTGCATATTTTAGCTCCAACACATTGGCTTGGAAATTTCTACTAAACTTCTAGGTGTGTTTTTATTAGTTTAGAACTAGAGCAGTAACAGGTTTGGACCCCTCAAAAAAAAAAAAAAAAAAAAAAAAAAAAAACGTCACAAGTGGCAACAAACCGTTTAAAACTATGTAAATGATACATTTAAAAAGTAATTAATAGGGTATTGTTACAATATTATAACAAATAATTATTCTCTAGAGTATAACCTCGATTGAGAGAATGTATATAAAGCTTGGTGGCTACAGAAACAAGACATCAGTTTTATGAAGGTTATGAAAATTATAGTCACTGAAGCTGTGAAATCAGTCATACTACATAATATTATTACATTGTTTAGCACGCACATTAAGCAAAACTAACATTTTCTACAGCTACTAAAAGTTACATGGCTAGTTATAAGGCCATAATGCCACTGTGTATGCAATAAATGTTATGTCACATGTAATCTCTTAATGCTTACATAAAAGAAATCTCGCCTTTTGGCATCTGCATCAAATTTATAAAAATTATTTACTATGTTTCCATAATTCCAACAAATACAATATTTGTCTGATGGATAGTGGCAAAGATTTCAGACTTTAAGTATTTAAGGCTGTACTATGATTTTTAAAGAGACATTTTCATATAGTTTGTTTATTTATAAATTTTGGTCACACTTTACAATAAGGTTTGTTAGTTAATGTTAATTAGTGCATTTACTAACAAGAACAAACAATGAACAATACATTTACTACTGTATTTGCTCATGTTAGTTAACGTTAGTTAATGAAAATACAGTAGTTCACTGTTAGTTCATGTTAACTCCTGGTGCATTAAATAATGTTAATAAGCATGGACTTGGATGTTAATAATGCATTAGTAAATGTTCAATTATGATTAATAAATGCTGTACATGTGTTTTTCATGATGAGTTCATGTTAGTAAATGCATTAACTAATAAACCTTATTGTAAAGTGTTACCTAAATTGCTAGTAGTTTGGGAGGATTTGCACATGATATTTTAAAGCTAATGTTACCTTAACTTGTATATAACTTATATATTTATATTATATATAAAGTTATTCACTGTATTAGTCATGAAAGTCTGCACTCTGCAGGGGTTGCCTGATATTATTGCCTGTTTTCTTCATGTTGATTGCACCATGGGGGTTTGATTTGGAGGCCAAAGGTTTATATATATATATATATATATATATATATATACAAGTTTAAATTACAAATTATAATACATAATTATCACTAATTAGATGGAATAAAATTCATTGCATGCATGGCCATGTAAAACGAGTAGATCCAAACAAGAAACAAAAGAGCGTTCTGTCACTGAACCATTTCCTTTCTAAAATACCAGAAGTACACTTCAGCTCAATGCCAGATTGTTTACGATACAAACCCAAGGCTACAGAGAATGCTGTGGCCTCTATGTGCAATCACCAGCACTGATCGATAGCTTTTTTATTTTTAAGGGTAAGCAGTGTATGCTGCACACGGAGGAGACAAAGGACCTGGACCATCTTTTAGGGAAGTGGATGAGCCCCTCGGAACTGCAGAAGGCCATGAGGAAAGCTGGGATCAATATATTTGTAAATGAGTATTCCGACAAATACGTCAGCATCAACCTTAAGGTAACAATTGCCTTAAGAGTCCATTCAATCATTCACTAACCAATTCTAGAACCCAACAATCGTAACATTTTATTTATTTTTCAATTAAAGGATCCATTGATAGAGCACGCAGTATATGAACAAATGGCCTTAATGTCCTCAGCTGTGGCCTTTTCATGGAGCCGCTGGAACGCACAATGTCGACAAGAGCACCTTGTTCTTCAAGTACGTCATAAATTATTGACAAACTGAAGCAATATTAGACATCTAAGGATGTTGATCACTGACTTCTAACTGTTTGACTCTGCAGGCATGTGAACAGATGGAGGTAGGGCCTGTAGCTGAGGAGGCGTGGTCTCTTTACCTGTTAGGTGCCCAGAGGAACCAGCATCTGAAGATGAAGGAGCAGGAAGACAGCTTCTCTCCAGAGCTGGCTGAGGGTAGCGAGTTTCACTCCACCTTTCTGCACATGCTCAGGCAGGACATGAGCACTGAGGGTCAAGCCAGAGTCCGTCAGTCTCACCATCTCTACATCGACACTGTACAGAGGCTCCTTTGTGCTACGCGTGTCCTCACATATTCCTGATAAGAGAAAGGGAGTATGCACATCCAAAAAAAAAAAAACAGACAACAGGCATACACAGCAATATCTAAAACATTTGACAGCCGTTTTGAATACATACATATAAGGTCACTGCAACAATGATGATATAACATGCTGTAAGGATGTTTCGAAAACTATATTACAGTAGATCCTGAATATACATATATACATTATATATATATATATATATATATATATATATATATATATATATATATATATATATATAATTTTATTTTTCTATAGCTGTGTGTATTTTACAAAGCTTTAAAGAACCCTATTTAGGGGCTATTTTGGCAGGTTCCATGCCTAATAATTCCCATTTCATTTAATACAGTGTTCAGGGAGGCCCATTAACACTGCATGCTTTAGATGTCTCCTTTGTCTGGCACACCCATTACAGGTCTTTCAGTCTCTTATGATGAGCTGATGATCTAAATCAGGTCTGTTAAGGAGACATGTAAAATTTGCAGAGCTGGTGGCTTCCAGTAACGTGGTTGAGAAACACAGATTTAATACACATTATTATGATGAAAGAAATGTGTGTTCGCAATCCATAATACAGTTTAAATAAACTTTTCTTATATATTCATTAATTTTCTTTTCGGCCTAGACCCTTTATTCATCACAGGTCGCCACAGAGGAATTAACCACCAACTTATCCAGCATGTTTTACGCAGCGGATGCCCTTCCAGCTGCAACCCATCACCGGGAAAAAAAATCTAATTCACACACATACACTACGAACAATTTAGCTTACCCAATTTACCTATACCGCATGTCTTTAGACTGTGGGGGAAACCAGAGCACCCAGAGGAAACCCACGCAAACACAGGGAGAATTAACAGTTTTAGACGAACATTTAAGTGTAGGGTATACTAAAACATTAGTATTAAAAAACAGACTGACTCATGAGCATTTGTTAATAATTAGTTACAAAGTAACTAGTTACTGTAATAAAATTACTTTCAGCTAAAGTATAGAGTAAAAGAGCATACAGAGTATATAAAGTACAAGTAAAATTGTATACTAATGGATTACCTTTCATTTTAGGTAACTTAATTAATTATTATAATGAACTTGCCTTTTATACTGTAATTAAATTCAACAGTTATGTGCAAATCAATTCACAGAGTCAGAGTAATCATGTATTTTGTTATTTAAAATAGTTTTCATTTATCAAAAGGATTCCACATGAGACAATGAAATGAGAAAATCATGAAAAGTTCATGAATTTATAAGTCAGAGAAACAAATTGTTGAGAATAACTCAATTTGTCTGACAATTAAAATACTAAATTGTCTGAGAATGCCACAAGCTTAAACAAACACTAAATGGAGTAAAATATTGACAGTATGGAGTCATTTCTTTGAAACATTTTATTACATTTTAGTGTTGTTGTTTTTTAAATAAAACTAATCCTGTTCGATTCAAATGTAATTTTTTCTATGCTATTCATATAAATAAGTAATATTGAGTCAATTAAATGGAGCAATTATGTTACTTTTCAGACATTAGAGAAGTAATTAAGTGCTATTTCATTCATGTATTAGTCATTAAATCTATTTTTGAAGTAACTTGCCCAATACTGCTCATGAGTCATGGTTCATTTAGCTAGTTTTCCTGCAGTGAAAAGGGAGATGATTTGGATCAGTTTCTTTATTGTGCAAAGTTTCTTTCCCCCCTCTTTGGAACATACAGACATGTATGAACTTTTAACAGTGAACATCAAACCAACAATTTCATGAGGATTAAAAAAAGTGTTCGTAACAATTAATAATAATCAGAAAAAAATCTACTGCATAAAACTGTAAAACAATAAATTAACAAAAAAAGCAAAAAATATATTTTTTAAAATCTCTCAATCTCAATACTCGTTCAAACAACTCATAAAAATACACTGATCTATTTCAAAGGTTTTAAAAACGGCAGCCTTTTCAGACAACCGACACATTTTTGCAGTTGGCTCATCCACTCCATCCTAAGCATCCACTGTGTGAGTGTCTCATGCGATGCCTCTAACATACGTGGCCAACACATCAGTTTGTGTACACAGCATCCAAGCAGTCTGAAGTTTTCAGCAAATCTCTCTTGACACGCCCACATTTCTCTTTACCTTCAGCAAGAAATGGTCACAAAGAGTTTCTGTTTGATGGACAGGCAGCAGTGTTGCATTACAGCTCTTGCAGCCGTAGGAGTTTTTCTCAATGTCAATACTGGCTACTGCAGCCTTGCCGACCCCCTGGTGTCACACAGGGGGCTGGCCGTTATGCCTCAGCCCAGTATAGGGCCACAGAAGCTGCTGGATGGTCATCCAGGAGTCCCCGGTGCCCACAGGTGCTGCATCTACTGCAGGCTGTAACATCAGACTCGCCAGCAGAGCCAGTAGAACAGCTAGAACTACAAATAAGGCCACCCAAATCCAAATCCCCCTGGCACCTCTGGACACTGCAGGCCTCCCCTCCATCAGGCTGGGTGGAGCGTTATCTGTTGGGCTGGGGGTGGGACTAGGATGAAGAGTAAAATAAAAGTTTTAAGAAGTACGTACAAGAGCATACCTACAGTAGCAGAAAGCAATGTGAATTTTGTTATGCTAAAACAGAAAAGAGCTGCAGAAAAAGTGTATATCTTTAGGCCAGAACGTACTCTACAAGCAGGCGAACACAAACACTTGGCAATAAACACAGCAACTGTGTGATCTCACTGTCAATACTTCATGTGCATTCTCTAGGAATCAATAAGACATGAAATTAGACTTGCTTGGCTAGAAGCATTCGCCACATAACTTGTATAGAGGATGTTCTGGCTTTATTTCCATTAGAAAATATACAAAGTAGTTCATAAACAACAACAAAGGATTACAAAAGTTTGAATAGGTGAGATGGCTGAGGCGACCTGAAGAGAAAATGCTGAACATTCAGAGGAATGTGAGAAATGACAGCTGCTGCTGAAAGCAATGTTTGACAAGTAAAAGATAAACATGACACATGTGAATGTTCATATATAGTTCTGGACTGATAGACCTACAAGTAGGGCCAGATAGAATCTGCGGAAATTTTTTGTTTTTTTTTTTGCAATTTTTTGCATAGAATTTTGTAAAAAAAAATAAAATAAATTATGTATGTATATATATATATATATATATATATATATATATATATATAAATTTAAACAAATAAAAATCACCAGATTTATGGGGAATGATTTAGGGGTATCATAAATAAAATATAAAATAAAAAAATACATTTATTTAATGTTTACAATGCAAATCCAATTAGATCCACTAATTTGGTAAGAGTAGTTCTCTCATATAATTTCTCTACTAAAAGACATATGAAAATGATTTATACATAACAATATATTAGTGAACCTAATTTAAAAAGGGAATAAATATAAATGTACACACATTTAAGTAAATAAATGAACGATGGATTAAAATCTGGATTTCTGCATAGGCAGATTCTGTGTGGGCCTACAGATATGTAAATATATATAGGTCAAACTGCGGTCAATTTTGAGGTCATCTAATAAAGTTTGTTTAAAAATATACAGGCTTTTTCTTTACTTTCATGCTTAAATGTGTCAATTCTGTAATCTTGTGGAATGAGTTTTATTGCCATTTTATTACCTTTCATTTATATTAATAAATACACTAGGGGGTCACCACAGCGGAATGAACCACCAACTTTTTGTAAAATATTACTACAACTAAATAACTTACTAAAATTTAATTTAACTAATTTATTTTACTAAATTCCCTTCATTTTCATTGAAAGTAAAAAAAAAAAATAAATAAAAAATAAAAACAGCATGTTGATGAAAGCTTTATGATCCCAAGCGTTTGAATAGTAGTGTACAGTTTCTTCATCTTGCTCTATGCTTAAGTTATCGGTCTACCACTTGTCCAGCTATTGGGAAAATATTCCAGTCCAGACTATGTGAGTACACTGTGGGATCAGTGTGCATTGACAACAGTCCACCAATATAGAAAAAAAAGACTTAAGCATTTTTCTCTGAAACCACAGATAGGCTGCTTGGATTAGGCATTGCAGACGATTATAGCAGAAAACATGTAGTGGTAGTTTCATTTTGTGTTGAAGAGGAATCAGTGTCCATTCAAAACAAAACGATTTCCACAGCTTAACTGTAAGAGCAAAAGACTGCAAAATTATTCACAGGAAACCCTTGATTTGTTGAAGAAAAAGCCTGAATGCTGAAGCAGAGAAACAACGGAGGCGGTAGGTACACTAACATCTTAGCTGGCATTATGAAGGAGGTGATTTTGATGCCTAATTCTGTTAAGCTCGTCCTTCTGTCCGACGCTGGCTCTTCTTTGCGCTCTTCCTCCGAGTGGGATTCTGTGTCATATCCATACCTGTGCAAAGTTTACACTGCACTGAGTGCCCACCATCTTGGCTCAAAGCCTCCATTGTTGCTCTACATGACTTGACCTTTCCGTGGCACACTGGATTTATGGTTTTGACATGAAATGAATGCGAAAGACGGAAGGTACACAACAGTTCTTCACGCGTGACCTTACCTATTCATCAGAGTGGGCTCATCAATGTCGGCCCAAGTACCAGAGCTAACAAAGCGCTTTAGCGGTGGCCTCTTGGCTGCCATGTTCCTGTAAAGCGGTCGACACACAACCATGACATCCTCTCTCGCAGCGCAAAAACATGCACAGGGTTATAAAAACAATCAGCACGCAACTCCAGCAGAGATCAAGGGTCCAATTTCCATAGAGCTACTGATAAGTGTAGAATTTGAATGTACTTTAAGTACTTTTAATAAAAGTGTCAGCCAATGAATGCTTTTTGTTTCTGGGTAAACACCAATTTGGAAAATAAATAGAGAAAGACAGGGACTCCTGTGTTTTTTTTTTTTATACGCCATGACAAAATAAAATTCACACACTTACCATGGTGACCTTCGAGAGAGTCTCTCCACCTCAGTCTCTGCCATGTCTTTGGGCTGTGAATTAGAAACAACCGTTTTTTTTTTAGATATTCCACTTCATGTCTACCAAAACCATCTATATTACAAGATTATAAACTCCTCACCATATCAAAATGGGTCTGTCCTCCAATACTGCGGGGAATGGTGGCTATACTAATACGTCGGCTAGTGGTCTTTGTACAGAACAAATAGAAATCAGTACAAATAAACATTAAAAGCGTATTTACAAGCTTAATGTGATGTGTTGTGCATCTTTACTCACTTTAAAAATGTTTGATGTTGTCTGTTTCTTGTTTCTAAAATCATCTGCAAGCACAAAATAACGACGATGTGATTAAGACGCAAGCTAAACTGGTATCATTTTTGTTTATGGTTATGACATACCCCTCTCACTGTGTGACCCAAAGGACCTCTCATTCGGCGTGAGGTTCTCCCGGAGCTCCAGCAGCTCTGCATGTTCCTTAGTGTACATCCTCCTCAAGTTCTCCACATGCTGAATCATCACCTCCACCGTTTTGCCCACTCTGGTCTCCTACACATGCAAGGAAGTTGAAAAGTAAACAAGCTTCTTGGCTATGCCAGGATTTAGTGAGCAATTTCAGCACTCTGAGTAAACAAACCTGATGAATGGCCCCGAGCATCTCTGAACGGCTGGACACTCTGGTCATGGACTGGACAAGGATCTCCAAGTTCTTCTGCACGCGATGGATGATCTCCATAGACTGGTTATCCTCCTCACACCGTGGGATTAGAGCCTATATAACAAAACAGTGCAGTCTGTTCACACTACTCATCCAAATAGAGGAATTCAGGACACTTCTTTTAGGGGAATATTATAAGAATTTCATGTCCTGAGCAGTGTATACATGCATTTTTTACTTTTTTTGTAACTCCAAAGAGTGCAAAAATTGACACAGACCTGCAGTAGTGCTTTACAACTGATCACTTCCTTGCGGACGTTCTCCTCAGCCAGGTCCCGTGAGCGTTCCTCCAGGCGTAGCCTCTTCTCCAGGGTAAACATGTCACATTTGAAGCCCAGAGATAACCGGTGGAACTCCGCCTGCAGGATAACACACTATAAACATTCTAGAAACATTCATTTCACACACTGAGAAATCTGATATACTAGTATGCTCATTCAGTAGTGTGGAATGTAGTCCTTTATTCAGATCTCTTTGAAATTTCTCCACAATTATGCTGCTACTTCATTTGAAGGAATTAGTTAATAATTTCCTTTTTTTTTTTCTTTTTTTTTTTTTTTAAATGTGCTTATTATGAATTTTTAACTACTTCAATACAATTTTGATTGTTATTTTCCTATATATGTAGATTCATCTTTTCACTGAATGAAAAAAACAACTTTACCTCAATCTCTTTGTCACTTGGCGACAGGCTGCAGATGAAATTTCAGATTAAAAAGAAACATGAATATGTCAAGCGAGTCATGTGAAGACATGTTGGAATCAGATTAAAATGTATGGATATCAATTCAGTACACAAGCCATAATAACCTGTTCTTGTCATCTTTGGTAGAATCACTGGCATTTTCAGAGCTGACAGATGTGTCACCTGAGGATAGGAGATTGATATCAAGGCAACATCTTTAAAAAAAAAAAAAAGGAGATGAGAAAAAAATGCAGGCATGGGGACTATTTATCTACCTTCTTTTTCTGTGACCACCGTAGGCTCACCGTCCTCTTGAGCTTTTTGTTCCTCGATGACTTCCATGCTGCTCATTTCCTGTAAAAAGATCATTTGACTTTAAACATCCAACACATTTATAATAGAAGTTTTTGTACTGGGCATTAGAAGCTATGCTATCAATGTTGATTATTAAGATCACAATTTATCATTAAATATTGAATTTATCAAAGGTTATATGAAATAACCAATGTCAAGCAAGCAAAACATGCAGAAACTGTCCATGTGTATTGGTGCAGAATGAGAGACACAAGTGTTTGTTTAGCACATTGACCACATGGTGCTAGTTTCAGTTTCTCTTTAGATAAATTAATTTAGGCTTGACATTTACATGTCGTTTATAGTGACTGGCACAATAATAGATTTACACCTATACTTTTCATTCCTTTTTCTATATTTATTGTTAAAAGATATGTTATGGGGAAACTAAAACAGATGATATTTAATTTGATTTACTTTTAGTTACTGATTGCGTATCATACATTATTACTGAATATATAATAATAATATAATATAATAATTATAATACATAACTTACTGTACACACTTAAGTAGCTTTATTTGTATCTTTTCTTTCAAGGATGCAATTTTGAAAATAAAGTAGAAATATTTTTTCATTAAATTAAAATTCAAGAACTTCACGAAAGCATCTAGCACAACAGGTTGGACTGGACTCTCCTGGCTTTTCAATATATACTTTTAGCTCATTTATGCTGGCAAGAGGGTCTCTTACCTTCTTGAGCTTGTTCCTTGAGGCCAGGGGGTCTTTCTTCGGGCTTTGTGTAGCAGGAACAGTTGGAATGTTATCCTCGCTGGCAGCAGGGTCAAAGGTCATGTCTTTCACTTTTTCAGAAGGATCCTTCAGTGAGTCAGCTGATCCAGTTGAGTTTGAATCAGATGTGACCACTGTCTTTTTACTGCCGGTCTTGTGTTTGTCTTAAAAGGGTATAAAGAAAGGAGAAGAGACACTTTTGAGGCAAAATAGCTTTGTTCTGAAACCTAGTGAGCTGCTAAGCAGATAAGGTGAGAGACTGATGTCATAGACCCAATACCATACTAATAATAATAAGTTTGTACTATTTGTATGCTACAATATTTTATTCTTGGATTATTGCAGTTTTCTTAACACCAAACTCCACTGCGATCAATTGTGAGAGTCAGGTTTCATGTGACACCAAAAATTGCAACCTAAACAGAGTTAGACTCTGAGTTACCAGTTTAGTTAGTTCACTCCTTATGTAGGCAGTTTGCAGCTGGTATTTTTCATAATTATAATATTTATTAATATGTGAATTCACATGCTTTAATGCTCTGTTTCCATTTTAATTTAAAAGGTTTACATACATGTCATCTTTGTCAACATATTCATGGTATTTTTATTGTTTATTTTGTATTGTTCATTGTTGTAAAGTTTTACTCTTTATTCACAATTTTATAGTTCTTTGCCTTGTAGCGCTTAGAGTTTGAAAAAAGCACATTACAAATAAAATTCATTATTATTATTAGTAGTAGTAGTAGTAGAGATTTTTGCATCTTTAGTAGGTTTTCTTTTACATGTTTAGTTCTAGCACTTCAACTAAAAGTTATTTTATTTTAGCTGCTTTAGGCAACACTTCTCAATTTAATTCAGCTTGTCATATTACACATTTTATTTTAGCTAAAAATAACACTGCAGCTCACTAGTGCTCAAATTATAACAAAATTTAGCAGGCATGGAGATTCAATTATAAAGCTAAATATAAATCTATTAAATGTAATTGATGGAATGCAGGCTTCAAGTATTTGTCTAATAAATAAACACTGATTTAATCATTCTTCTGTAAATATATTCAAAGCATCAGTCAACAATGAAAACAAATGGCTTTATCTTTGTGCCATCACTTGCCAACTCATTTTAAAAATCAAAATAATTGTTTATTTATATTGTCTATTACATTATACAGCAGAAGTAATCTCTAAATTGCACCGCATTTGTATCATAAACGGGTATGAAACCATCTTTTTTGTTCCAGATTGTTCCTGAAATACAAACACACTCTAAAAGCCTTTTCAAAATGTCAGAAAGCGACTTCCTCAGGTGTATTTCCTCCTACCTGGTGAGTTCACCCCAGCTGACGTCACCTCCACTGCTTCTGGCATGGCCTCCTCTTCCTCTGCTACAGGCAACAAGAGACTCCTACACAAATAAATACCCGCAATTAAATGACAACTTTTTTTATGCTTGACAAAACAACACTAAGAATCAGTACATCAACCAATGCAATTCAAATGTAAAATACAAATCAATTAAAAAAGAAAAATACTCACTTGTCAGATTTTGCGGATACTTTAGAAAGCTGTCCCTCGCCCAGTCTCTATAGATGACAACAGTATGGCATTATGACCCAGTGACACACTCTGAGCACCAACACATACAGACAGTAGATTTCACAAATGCATATGCAAATAAGCAAAGCACACACACAGCTCCATACCTGTCTTACGACATGGCAGATGAAATATAAGAGCTACTCTCTGCTTTACAGAGAGAGAGAAGTGCTAGATACTTACATAATGTGTGTGAGAGCTCTACAGCTGGCAGAGGGAGAGAGAGGATGGTAAAGACAGAGAAAGAGAGAGAGAGGGAGTGACAGAAAGAGAGGGGGACGGAGGGAGGGAGGAGGAGAGCACTTGTACTGGCAGAGTTCATTCAAGTGGGAGTGAAAAAGTGCTATACTTGTTCCAAACATACTGATGAAAAAAACACACACACACACAGCCTGAGCAGAATATTTGATCATCAAGTTCATAAAACTGAAGCAAAATAACAATTAAAGAAGCAACAAACAACACCAGATCTGTTCCGATTGAGTCACAGTCAGCAGGGAAGAAACAAATGTGTGAATAATTGGTTGGTTGCACTTTGCAAAGTTGGTTTGGTAAAGTAAATAGGCTTATGAAAATCTTCCCATATTTTCTGTTGACGTCAAAGGGGTGTCCAATCTGTCGTTTGGTAAAATGGACAGCTAAATAAGGCAGATCAAACCATGGATGGCACTAGGCATGGGCCAGTATATGATTCTGGCGGTATTATCCCCTTGGTTAAATATATCATGGTTTCTCGGTGTTGCGATCGCTGCTCTAAAATATATTCTTTTTTTTTTTTTAATGTCTAAGTAAAAACAAAAATATTTTCCTTTTGAACACAATATATTTTATTCTGAGAAATATTTATAATATTTTGTAACATCAAACATGTCAGGCTGAAAAATTCAAATCAATCTGCACACTGACTTCTTTACAATAAAAAAAAAAATATTTTTGGATATCTTTTCTGCTGGAGATACTGTAGTATCAAAAAAATAAACAAAAGAAAAGTGCATAAAAAAGTCTTACGCACACCTGGTATAGCAGTAAATTTTGGCAGTTTTAAAACCTTGACTTTTCCAAACCGCTGTATACCTCGAAAACGGTTATCGTCCTATGCCTAGTTTTTAACACTAAAGTACTAAGAGTACAAAAGCAAACTTAGTTAAGCACAACTTTTATAAACAACTTTTAATTTTTTTTAAGAATTTTAAAAGCAATTGTCTGTAGACACTTACCAAGAAAAATACTGTTAACATTTATTTAATATTACTTAATATTTAAAATCACTGATTTCTGCTTGAATATATTTCTGTGTTGGTAAATTATTTTTAATTAATCTGATTTATTTATTTTAGTCTTCAATGCGAAATGATTCTTTAGAGACTGTTATGGTGCTTTATTTGGTCGAGATAAATTTCTAATCAAAGTTAAAATAATTTTAATAATTTTTTTTTTTTATAAGTATAAAACAGAATATATATATAACAGAGTATAAATAAGTACACCCCTTATAAATCCATCTTTTAAATTCATATTTTTACTAGGAAGCTATACAATATTATATTTGTGCATATACATTAGATTAATCAGTACTGAAACCAACTCTGGAGCTTATCTAACAAAATAAATTAAGATAACATTCCAAAAACTAGTACACCCAAATTTCTATAAAGAAATATTAAATGCAGATTTTAAAAAGAGGAAAAATCAGGAAAAGCAATAAAGCATTTTTTAAACAATTTAGATGCTAATTTGTAGTTTGTAATTTATTTTGGCAATTTTTTTGCATGAATTAAACTGTATTATCTTTAAATTTCTAAATATGTTTAGTGACTAAAAATGTAATTTTAATAAATCTGTTTAAATGCACCAAAATACATTGCCCATATTCCCTGAGAAATGGATAAAAATATTCATTTTTAAAATGAGTTGTACTCAATTAGACTGAGCACTGTATGTCTAATAATATAATATAGTACATATTCATAGACGTATAGCACTGCCTACTCTTTATGAAGTGGAATGCAGAAAAGCCATCAGATGAAGTACAGTTTGTTTTGGTTGCACGCCTAGTGCACCTGAACATCTCACATCTTATCATTAACTAACAACATACACAAGTCAACAATGAGGCAATTAACAAAGTGCATATGCCCGTGGAAAACATTGGCTTTGCAGATTATTAAAAATAGTTTGTATCTGATCCTGGACAAGCAAGTGTGAAATTACACTAACAAAACCATGTTGTCAGATGCCAGGTGCTTATATAAATTTGCAAAGCAGCTCACGCAAAGCAATTCTAAATACAGAAAGCCGAAGCGCATCACATCGATTAGAGGGTGGGGGCACGTCCTCTCTCATGAGAAGTCATTCCTGCTTACCGAAATCCCGAACCCTCTCAAATCAACCCCCTGCAGGCTTTTCCTTTAGATCACGGCAGAAATGATAGCTTACTCTCTTACTACAAAGGACCACCAGACAGGAAGTTTTTTTTTTTTTTTTTTTAACACAGGAACATGACAAAAGAGAAAAGCAAACTAGAAAGAAACAGAAAAACAAAAGGGGAAGTGGAAGAAAGAGCTAGCGGTGCTACAGATGCAACAAGCTTCCCCTTGGTTTCATCAGCTTCCTCAAACTGACCTGCAAGTCACTCATGTCGGCTCCGGTGGTCAAACGCTCTTCCTCGGGTTCTCCGTTTGTGCCCACAAGCTGCTCGGTCCTGACCCGGGAGGAAAGAGAAAGTTCGTCACTAAATTGCTGTACTGTATTCCTGAACTTTTAGGACTCAACTGCTGTCAGTAACTGTAATATTGTTCTGTGAGATCCAGTATAGCATTGCAAGGGGCGTTTGTCCGAGTCTGGCCAAACAGGTGCATGGTGAGCAGCATGCAAAGCAAGGCTCTGTCAGTAGTAATAACTCCTTAGCAGGTCTACACAAAACAGCCCAACACACAGGAAGAGGACACACATTTGACTAGCAAATTTGATCTTTGGGTATGTGGGGAAGCATTTCGAACGAAAGTAGACCATCATTTTTTTGTTTTGGTGAATCATTAACTAGCACTTTATGGGAGCCAGAGAAAATCCACAAGCAAATGAAGATGTATGGAAATCTAATGTGCACACACATTAAAAAAAACACAGGGTGCTTTATCTCACCTTCCTGTAATGGAATTACCAACTTCAGGATGGCCTGTGGAGGGAGATACCAACTCACAGGTCATAAGGGAGGAAGGTTCAGTAGATAAAATGTGGTCTTTGACTGAGGTGACCTCAAGGTTGTCATAGGTCAAAGGCTGGTCACCTGTAGAAGGGGTTAGAAAGTGTGTTTGAATATGCACATGAAACAGAAAATGTTCCTAAAATGAGCATTTTGTCATGAAAAGGGTTTTATTTCTTTATTATATTTTTTAGTCTATATGTTACTAAATTGATAGAAAGCATTTAGCAGAGAAGGCTGGGTAGAGGAAGAGCTCTTACCAGCACACTCACAGTGGGTGTGAGGCAGAGGAGCAGCCTGCTCGTGGGCGTCCTCAGGCCCAGTGCATTCTGGGAGTCTGTCTTCCTCCTGTGGTGGCCAGAAAAAGATTGAGAAGGCCAGTGAAAATGAACCTCTACACTGCCAGAGAGAAAGACTCCCCAAAGACGAAGAGTTTAGATACTTCTAAATAATTATTCATACAAAAGTGTTTTCCCCCTATTTCTTTAATATACACAACTTTTTTTTATGTAAATCAATCAAAAAACAAACTATAAGCAAGATTAACGAATGATTCACATGATTTAGCATCCTTAGACTTACTTAAAAATAAATGAAAGACAGATTTAGATGAACCAATCTCAGATAAAATTTGGCACAAAATAATGCAAGGAACTTTCTTATCATCCATATGCCTCAGGCATGCTGTAATGCAATTCAAAATTGTTCATCAATTGCACTGGTCTAAAGTCAGACTCTCTAAGATCAATGCTGACATAGATCCCATATACAATCGGTGTAGGCAGGCTCCTGCTACTCTGCTGCACATATAGAATACATATTCTAGCCATACATATTCTGGCTAGAAGACATATCGAGATACTGTATTGTTTAAATGGAAAGACCTTATTTCACATACACATAAGCACTGGATAAGAGAAGTCATGTCTAATCTTAAGTTGGGGAAAATAAGCATACAGTACCTATCAGAGGGTCTGTTGAGACATTTTATAAGGTCTGGCAAATGGAATGGATGGAAATGGACGCACACAACATGGCAATATGTGATAAAAGTAACTAGTGTCATATTTTCATGTCATGTTTTTATCTTTTATTTTATCTATGGACATTTGATTATACATTGTTCTTGAAATAGTGTTCTGGGAAAGGGGTGCTGTTTTTTCCAAATAAAAAAAACTTGGGAAAAAAAAAATCATAGTTAAGACAATCAAGATGCAAATTGTGACAGCACAATTCAGGTGTGATGTGCAGTACTATCACAGTGTGTGTTTGCATGGGCTTTGGTTCTGACGGTCATGCAATTTTCAACAAGCAGTTAGGAACTACAATCCACAAGTAAAACTCCCATCATGCTGCAGGCAGTACATTTACCCAATGACCAATGGCAATGTGGCTTACCATGCTTAAAACGTGTTTTTAAATGTCATGGTAAGCCACTCTAATGTTGTATAATTTGAATTTAAAAGTATCAAACACTCTTTAATATCAGTATGTGTAAATGGTTGATCCAGTGTCACTGAATCATCAGAATGATGTACACACTAACAATAATTATTTCACTTGTTAGTTGATAGTTAATAAGAAATAAATAGAAGAAACCAATATATACCTTTAGAGACATGCAAGGCCTCTGCTCTCCTCCCTCACCTACAAATGGAGCTTCTGAAATAAAGAGAAAGAGACTCAAAAATAGTCTTAACATATTTTACTTGAATAGTGTTTCAAGAAAAACAGGTTACACCATTGGAATAAGGTGGACAAAAATAGATTATACTATTAATATTGGATTATAACTGTTATTTAAAAAAGTAAACTTGAAGTACATTATATGAACAGTACATTTTGATCATGTCATGGACAAAGTTGACTAAGAATTTTTTTTAATCTGACTATTTAGATACCGATGTTCAAATATGGGTAATGCTCACTCCGTAATTAATGCTTATATTTAAGCAGGCATTAAAGATATTAAAAGCACATCAATCTTTAAAAGAAAAGTGCAAAAACTTTCTATTTTCTCTTTGTCTCTGCAAAGAATTCTCTATTCTGATATACAATTTCTTTAAAGTTATCTTCACTTTTGGCTAAGTTTTATGAGTCTAACTGTCATGCCCAGTTACAGCATGATAAGACATTGGGGTTTATGAAGTGACATGCCTGTGTTGGTTAGTCAGCAGTCATGCAGTGGACGAGCAGTGAAGGGGACAAGGTCACAAGGTTTACTTTACATTACTGACCAAAGATGGCAGAAGAACGGGTGAAAGAAAAACCAAAAAAAGGCCTGGAGCTAGAGTGACCCTGCTTTTTTCAGTTTGTGTTTAAGCTTCAGGGATGACTGCCTGCCCCGTGTCACAAAGGATTAAAAAAAGGATTATACAGCCCCAGGAATCTGACACAGACTACTCGTCTAATAAGATTGACCATTTACACTAGACAGCTTTGAAGTCGCAAATGCCATCATACCTGTCCTGACATTCAAAACAATTCTGCTTTTAAGACTTTTCCTTCATTTCCATTTTGCAATTTCAGATTTTATCTTTGAAATTTTTGAACCAGGTTTGCAAACCGAATTCCACAATGGACTTACAATTACGATTCATTTCTCACCATTTGATTCTCTTTCAGATTTTTTATCAGGTAGACACATATGAGAGAGGGTGAAATCTCTTTGTGGCTCCTCGTTCTCCACTCCAGAATCATATGTAGCTTCACCTTCTCCTTCAGACTTTGCTGTGATCTTCTCTTTGTCACTCACAGTCTCTGTTGGTTCCTCCTCCTCCTGTTTCAGGGCCTGAAGTACCTCTTCATCACAACAGAGCTCCTCAAGCATCTGCTGGTCAGGTCCAAGCTCTTGTAGAGGAGGCGACTCGGACAACACATATTCCTCATCCCATTCAAGAGAGGGACCATCTAGCTCTTCCACAACCTGAAGATACACAACACCACCAGTCAATGATGTAAATGTTTCTTGTTGACTTCCAACCGATAGCTTTTGGAGTCATCATGCATTGCGGTATATTTAAACTGAAAAATTATTTTTTTAAAAGTGTATAAAACTCAGGACATGAGGCAAGATCTGAACATAAGAACATTGTGGGGTAGTCGGTCAGTGGCGTCTATTCTCTAGAGAAAAGTTCAAGATGAAGTCAAGTTTCGAACTGGCTCACAAACCACACTTGCCTCCTACACACACACAGCTCCAGGCATCTTGTAATGAGACTGTAAAAGTATCCATCTGTGATCTGCAGAAGCTCGCGAAAATCTTTATTTCTGTTTTGCCCAGGGCTGTTTCAAAAACCCGATGCGAGTTGTAAAGCCCACATATGTTGAAGCATGTGGAGGCAGTGAAAGCAAGCGTTCGATAAAAGCTCAGTACCTGCTGTAGGTGGTCCGGTGTTTGGCTGCTGGCCTCTCTGTTGTCCAGCGGAGTCTTCAGACGATCGACTTCCTCTCTCAACTGCTGCTTCTGATTCTCCTGCTCTTGTACCCTAAAAACGCAGCCCAAAAACAGACTTCATAAAACTTGAGCCTCTATCCAAACCACAAAAAGGAGGTAGCCATAAGAGTATATATTATTTTAGTTAATGAAAGGATTTGCAAGAAAAAAATGGCACTGTTTGTGAGGTCCATAAAAATGTTGTCATTTAAAAAACACTTGTGAGGATGTATGTGTTGAGCTGTGATGCAAAGTGAAAGCCGGACATACTATACCCAATCCGCAGGCCCAAGCAGTGTCCCATTGTTCCTTCGCCTACGTCTTAAAACACAGGTAAATCCCTCTTACCGCCCTGACTTCTTACAACAGCCCCTCTGCCTTTTTATCTACAGGACACTAAGTCTGCCTGCCTTAAAAAACCGTGTTATGTCAGATTAGAAACACCTCTTCACTGAACCAAAAACAGCTTGAGGGGGTCAGCTGGAACAGTACTTTGACAAAAGCTTTTTTTTGAACATGGACTTAATTGGTAATGCTTTGCCCAAAAATTCTTCCACTGAAATGTTTTTATTTTGAAATACCGTGGTGCATCCTGCATTAACATCACTGACATTTGCAATCTAAAGGCATTCTTTTACACACATTAACTGTAAACCAGGTTTTAAATGTAGTAAATATGTGTAACAGGTGTAAATGGGGTCTAAAATGTATTGAGTTTGTCCAGTTTGATCACCTTAAGAGGTAGTTGAAATGCCATTACAGGGTTTCTGCAGGTTTCTTAGGGTCAAATTTAAAACTTTTTAAGACCATTATGAATTAAACTTTAGAATTATACAAGGCTGTACATTAAGAATTTTTTTCCAATGAGCCGGTTACTTTTGCAAATTGTATTTGTATTAATGAATGATCATCTAAAGGAATGTGTTTTCTTTCTCTGATTAGGGAATATGATTTAGAGAATTAGCTTTAAAATGTTTAACAGCTGTTGTGAATTGTATCTCTGTGCAATAAAAAGTTGAGATGAATTATTGGTGATTGGGTGTCAACCCGACAGGGTAGCTTTACCTGGACATAGGAAAATTAAGAGCTGTTTAAAATGATTTAAGACCTAAAACCCAATAATTTATTGAATTTAGGACTTTTTCAGGGCTAAAATTTTGTTTTTGAAATTTAAGACATTAAGACCTCGCAGACACCCTGCATTATATCTGACTGCTTTCATTTGAGCAGACAAAAACAGACAACTTCTTAAATTTTGGTGAAAAAAAGGTCTACAAAAAAGTGTAATAACCAATACAGCACTGCTTATGTAGAAAATATTTTTAAACCATACAGTTTTCTATTCATTACTATAGTGAAACCTCTGTGGGAAAATATTTTGCTCTCACATAAAATTCCAGATTACTAGGATTTTTACTAAAATTGTTGAATAAACATAAAAATAAAACCATAATATTAGCAAACTAACATCAAAACATAGCTTATAAAATGTAATGCTACCTTCTTAGTCTACTCACTTTACAGACAGGTGCAGGATCTCGGTCCGAGAACGTCGCATGTTGCTAGCCATCTTCAGAAGTTCTCTCTCCAGAGAGTCCCTGTACTGGTCCAACTGCTCCAGACTGCGAATCCAGTCAGTCCTCCTCTGTTCAAGCTGCACCTCCAGACCCTACATGGAGTTCACAAGATCAAAAACTAGCTACAATAACAAAATAAAACACACAGTGTGCCAGTAAATAAACATTGAACAGCTAAATAAACAGCTTAATAAAAGCTAAACCTTACAGAAGATGATTCATCAAGACATCTTAAGGTGTGTCAGAATTACTTTGACCCGACATACTGGCCCTGTGCATGGTGGGAATTGGAGTGAGAGAAATATTGGCCTGCATTGTTGACAATCGGGGAAGACCGCACGTACTGGTACGGTCCACTGAATACCCACAATAAGAGGGACCAGATCCAGCAAAGTGGTTAATAACGCAATGTGGTTGATAAAAGATACAAGAAAATGAAGTTCTTATGTAATTTTCAAAATTATTTCTCTATAAAAAGATTTTCTAATGATTTATTTACATATCTACATACACATACAAAATGTTTCCTGCCTCTGTCAGACATGTCTTAAGCGAATAAAATCCTGTCACCTGCATCTTGAGGTCAGTGTTGGCCTCCTGAGTTTCACTGTTCTCTGTAAGGCTTCTGATTGCTGTGAGAAAGGTCAGGCCATCTTCTTTAAATTCCCTTTTCTGAAACGATTCATGTGTGACACACTGTGAACAGTCTACAACATTATGAATCACAAAAAAAGGTGTAGGTGAATTAAACACAATACTAAAGGTCTTTTTAAAGCAGACAATTTTACAGTATTCTGTTGGTGCAACAGCTTTGATGACTGCAGTTTTCAAATAATTTGTGAAACCTTTTACATTTGGAACAATTTAAATAAATGCCTATTTACTAATATAATAGTTGCCATCCTCGGTGTGAAGAGTGCTTAAGCTGTGCAAGTGTAATAGTTGGCTAGTTTAGTTACCAATCTGCTGATCAGAGATTTAAACTCCAGAGACAGCTGCTCTGGAGTAGGGCCTTGAAGAAGCAGAAGAACCTCACGATCTAGAGTCTCATCCAGAGACGATGCAAAACAGACAGAAGTGGACAGATGCTCCAAACCCTGCACAAATGCACACACACAATAATAATAATTCCTTACATTTATATAGCGCTTTTCTGTACACTCAAACCGCTTTACACATTTGGGGGAATCTCCTCATCCAGACCACACACCACACAGTAGCTAATTGATGGAGAGGACCAATTATGATATAGGGATGGTTAAGAGGCCACGTCGGACTAAGGCCAGTGGGCAAACTTGTCCAGGATGATGGGGTTAAACCACTACTCATTTCGAAGGACATCCTGGGATTTTTAATGATTAGGACCTTTGGACCTTGGTTTAACGTTTTATTCGAAAGAAAGACCAAAAGTCACACACACACAACGTGAACACATTCCTATTAATACATTTATTTTTAAAACTAATAGCACACATTTTTTATATGGCTTATATATTTTTAATTCTATTACTGTATTGTAGTTTTCAGCCATTACAATTGAAAAACAAATTGTGAAATAAAATGTCGACACACTCATTGTAAACCTGAAATCTGAAAGCAAAGTGAGGGTGTGGATTACTGAATGTGTTCCCTGGCAGTGGAGTGGGAGTGAGTGTGGGTGGACTAAGAACGGCACATGAGTGCTGGTGGGAGTGGAGAGAAAGAGACACTCCAAATCATGGACAGGACAAAGATAGACAAGGGAATTGCAAACACACTACAAACCTCCAGGGGATTCTGTGCCAGAGCCAGCTCAGTCTGAAGAGAGCCTGAACTCGTCTGATTCAGTCTGTAGGCCACAGAGAGAGAGAGACCCGGGCTGGAAACATATACACACACACACAGCTAGAGGAACATGTGACAGAATCGCTGATGTTTGTTTAGCTAAATAGCATGCAACCAATAAGGTCAAGTAATTTGCCAATACTTTTATTGCTATGAGAGATTTAAATTGCCATGCAATTCTTACATTGTCACATCAGGCTGCATCATCTGCATTTGGCTTTCCAGTTTGTTCTTGTCCGCTCTCAGTAGCTGAAATAAATGTACATAAACATGTTTTTTTCTCATAATACAATTTCTTCACACAATTTAACAATATGGAAAAAAGCAACTCATGTTTACAATTGCTAATCATATTTTATACATTTATTAAGGTTTACGTGCATAGAACTACCTTTCACACTACTGATACAGCAAAAATGAGTGAGAAAAAGAGACGATTCTCCAGTCTTGCAGATTTACATTACATTTGTCTTTTTTTAATATGTATTCTACAATTCTATCGCAAGTTATGCATTTTAATCACAAAAAGAATAGTTTAGCAGATGGTAAACATGCAAAAACATCTTGGGGTAGTGGTTGATAGATTGAGTAGATGTTAAACACTAATCAGCAGCATTTTATGAAAAATGTAAAAGTTTTTTTTTAATACAAACATTCACAAAACTAATCATTAGCAAAAGTTTTAAAATGCTGCTGTATGAACCACCCTTTAAAACCAGAATTTAAGATCACCTCTGTAACTGATGAATACTCCACAACGGCCACCTTTAGTTCATCCATCTGTTTATTTTTCTAGAGGAGAAAAAGTCAGTTCTGTTATAATACTGGACAAATATAATTTTATATGATGGCCAGTTATATAAACATAACCAAAAGAATAATGATAACACTAAACAATTCCAAGTAATGATTGGAGGAAAGCACAATTAATCAAATCACTTGGCTTTAATTTGTACATTAAGAGTGACATGGATATTATTTTGATCATTCTTTTAGTGATACGCAATAACTGACCTCCTGAATTAATGACTCCTTATCAGCCAGAATGGCATCAAATGAATGAATTTGAACCTGAGTGTATAGAAAAATATTAACCACCATAACAGATGTATTTTAGGGGGGGCATAAGATGATGAATGAGTGAACTAAAACCGAGCCTACCTGAAGATCAGCATTAAGGTCACAAAGGTCATTCATCTTTTTCTGAAGTTCCTCTGCCTCCAGGGTCACTTTCATGTTCTTAATAAGAAAAAAGGGAATTGGAGATGAATGTTGACTATTTAACCTGGTCATTTGGATTAATTACATGTACTGAGTCATACCTCCTCTTGTAAAGCAGCAATCTTGGATATGAGGCTTTGGTTTTCACGTTCCTATAAAAAAGCAAAGGTTATATAATGTGCTCATGTTTGATTTAATAACACATATTGTCAATGTCAATATTACTAGCAAGATAGTGTGCATCCGGCAGCTAGATTTGTTTACTCTAAATGTTTGTATATGCTTGGTTAATATAATACAACTATCAATCTCATTATGATCATACAGCTTGTTATCTGTTTGCATTAGTTTATGAGTTTCATAACTTGACTGATTAACATTTGAACTGCCGTCAATGAGGTGAGAGGGTCGCACCATCTGTTTTCTTTGAGCTGCGGCCTGAGCTCGGCTTTCTTCTGAAGATGTCAGACTCAGCTTCATCTCCTCAACTTCTTCTTTAAGCATCTTCTCCTTCTGCAATAATTGCTGCCCCCTACAGGATTAGAGATGGTAGTGAGTCTAAAGACATGTTATGGAATCTGAACATTCAGATGTAAAAATAAATAAGTATATAAAAAAAAACGAAGAAATCAGTACTGAACATTTTAGCTTGTGTTTTGAGCTCTTCATTTTCCTCGATGAGTTTCTGGTTGGTGTCTTCCATGTTTTCCACTGCCTGCTTTAATTTGCGAACCTCTTCCTGCAGCTTTTGGTTATTTAGCTGCAAATCGGCTACACAGAAGACCAGATCTGATGTCTCCCTGCACAAAATTACCATAAAGACTAAATAAAGCATTGCATTACATCTCAAAAATTACAATTATTCTGTAAATGAAGTATTATAAAACTTTCAAGTATCAATCATATTCTTGATAATGCGTGAACCGATTGTAACTAAAAAACAGAAAATGACACCTTTCCGAACACCCTGAACTGCCTGTACAATCATGTTGATTTTTTGTGTACTACTTGCATATCCAGATCTACATGGTTTATACAGTAGTCTCAGATATTCTTTATTTAACAGTGCAACTTTATAGTGGTAATGTAATTTTGATTACCAAATTTGTCAATATTTTGTTGGTAAATGTCTATGTCCCTATGATCAGATGCTTTCTTTACTTCTGCTTTCTCATCTCTGTCATATTTGTTGTTTGAGATAAAAGCATGCTTCAGATATGTCTTTTGGAAGTGTGGATGGGAAGTGAGTGGTTATTAACAGTATTTCACTGCAAAAGTATTTCCAATTTCCTTCCTTCCTTCTTATCAAAGAATGAAAAAGCACTTAGCTGTGAGTTTTGAATCACGTTCAGTCTCTTATATCATTGTCAATGAGTGCAAGCAAATGAGTTTTGGCTGTTCACTAACAGCCAACAAATGTTGCTGATAACAAGGGTTTCCAAATTCTACATTTAACTATTTTGATTATTAACTATAACAAATAATAATTTTATCATAAGACTTCAGACCTAAAGGTTTTTAAAATCATAAGCACATAATCTTTTCAAGTGTGTCCACTTTTTTGATTGACAGATAAAATCAAAACAAGCATCAAACCACACGATAGTCCTTTGTACATAAACAACTTGCACACTTACAGGTCAGCTCTGGAGGCTTCCCCTCCGAATGCTTCTAGGCTACCTGAGGTCATATTTAGTAGAGCAGATCTCTTTGCTATAGGAAAGAAAGCATGATTAATATAAAGAACAAACAAGAAAAATATCATAAACAATGAGCTTTTGACATTTTGAGGAAGATCTCACCTGATAAACTGTCTCGTAGTTTGGATGATTCCTGTTGAGTGTCATTCTTTAAGTCCTTACTAAACAAAAAAGGGGATTGTTAGTTGGGTTGCTATCTTTTTGAAAAATTGTCATGAGGAACATATTTCAAGGAAGGGCCTTGTGATCAAAACTGATTGATAACAAACTGATGAAAATCTCCAATTTGTCTTTGGTTGAGTTGGCAACATCTACAAAAGACATACCGCACATTGATTGCCACAAAAACAGCTTCCAATGCATTTGCAAAAAAAAACAAAAAAAAACAACCAACAGATATTTTCTGTTTTTCTGCAACATTTTCCAAACTGTTTCCAGACTCAAAAAAGGGGCTCGAACACCCACTTCATGGACACAAAACCAGAAATGTGCATTTAACGAATAACTAAAATGACCATTAATGCAGCAATCCACTTTGAATTGGCGGTCTAAATATGAAACGAATACAAGCCTATCTTCATACCCCTGATTCCGGCAGTCTTCAATCCACTCCTTCATAATGGCATGATATGTGTCCAGGTCTATGGAGATGTCCTTGCGCTCTGGGTCCAGCATATTGCAGAGCTCCTCCAATCCGCTGTCCTCTGAACTTCGGCAGGTGGTGTGTCTTAAGAAGTCCACAATATGCGATACGTAAACTTTCCCTGCAACATAACGCTGTGTGTTACTATGGTTATAGTGACTACAGTCAAAGATGACCTGGGTTTTATCAGATGCCATCCGACAAAGAACCTAAGAAAAGAAAGTAAGCAAAGCAACACCTACTAGTTCTGAGTCACCATGACTATGTCTGCGCAAATTGAAGCAGTATGCATAAAAGTCTGCTACTTTAATGTCTTTTAAAGTGTGCTTGAACAAAACCTCATTTTGCATTCACTTACACAGCAAGTTGCCATTGCATTTATTTGTGAGAATGCTGGTGTATAAAAGAAACTTTTGTTCCCACAGCGGTCTGATCTGCACAGACACAGCACATCAGGTCAGAGACATCATGAGGAGAGATCAGGACTTCAATGAGGACAGATCAGAAGGTCTAAGTCTCTCTGTGAGAAGAGGGAAGTCTGACTGCTGCGGGGTCTGAATGAGTCGATGTTGTCAGATGCTCTTTGAGGTTACTTCAGTTTAAACAAACAAAACCACAAGTATTGTTCTTTCAGTGCTTCTCAACCTGCTGATGAATAACATCTAAATTATGTTAGGGATATAGTATTCTATAACATATCAAAATTTTTATGCAATCATATAACTGAAATAGTAGTTAATGTTTGTGGGTGGCAACAAAAAAAAATGCTTTATTTTTTCTTCTCACATAAGTCACTTTCATACCATGCAGCTTTCTCTTGTTCAGCGTGACTAACTTGAAACAAAAATCATGTGAAATCTTCACTGGATTTTTCCAGCAATAATTGACTATATAAATCGCAATGTGAGACACCTTTACTGTTAACAGATCATCAGTGTATGCTACTCTAAAGAGAAAAAGAAAAGTATTGTCTTTGCAAACTTTTATCAAAACACAAGACCTTTTTTTATGATCATTATTCTTATTTTAGCTTTTTTAAGCAGCATTTATTATTTAGGCTCAGGCTTTTAGACTTTGTTAAACAATATTGATACTAGGGTTGCTCGTATTGATCGGCCGGAGATCGTTAACAGCCGATAATCGCAACAACATTCAAACAATACTCACCAAATTGGCCTGTGAAGTGATCACAAGTGTTTGCTTACGGGTTTACAAGCGGAGGAAGATGCATTTTAACTTCTTTAGCAAATATGCACTCCAAACTTTTTATTCATTGACGCATGTTGAATTATTCTTCCATCATTTTCAAAGTTTCCAAATTGCATTTATCTTACAAAATTTTTAATCTGTTTTACCTATTATTTTTTGTGAAGTTGCTTCTGACCATGACGTGTCCACACTAAATGGTTATAAAGTACATGTTTAAATGATTAAATGCAACATCCTTTATTTATTCTCTTAGGTAAGGTGAGATCTCCACTTAAGCATCACACTTAAAAGAAAATGTGCTTTATCAAGGTTTCTACATGTTTCATCAAATCAATTTTAAAACGTAACAGCTTTTTAAGTCCATTATGTATGAAATTTTAAACGTACACAAAGCTAAACGCTAAGGATTGTTTACTTATGAGCCATTTAAAACATTAAAAACAAATGTTACTGTAAGGAAGATAATTAAACCATTTGTTTATAAATAGAGTTTGTAAATAGAGTTGATAAATAAACTTTTGTAAAGAATTTTATTGAGATGGAACGTTAGTGAGTGGATGGGTGTGGGTCTGATTGGGTACCTTTATATGGACATGACAAAATTAAGACCTGTTTAAAATGATTTAAGACCTTCAACACAATATTTCAGTAAACTTAAAACCTTATAAGGTCTAAAATTTAGATTTTGAAATTGAAGACATTTTAAGGCTTTTTAGGACCCCACAGACACTCTGTTTATGCAGTGTTAAAGTTATATGAAGCTTGAAGGATCAGAATCGGTACTCTGTACCAGCCGATTACCATGACGAGGAATCGGTACTCTGTATTGGCTCCAAAAATCTTGATCGGAGCATCCCTAATTAATACAAACTACATTCAAATTATTTCAGATTGGTAGCACCAAATCCTGACCTTCTGTTTCATGTTTATAGTAAATAGTATAATAAATATTTACTCACACAAATGTAGTATGTTAATTAAAAACAATTAGGAAAATGTTTTGAACGTAATCTCAAGGAATTGCAAATAATCTAAGTGTTTTAAGAATAATGGGTATGGCTACACAACATTTTTTTAAATCTAAAAACATGGTATGCATTGTTAATTTCCACAACAAAAGCATTTAAAGAACAATACCATACTCATCCCTGTGTATAGGCATGCACAAATGAATCAGTTTTGAATTTTTGTCATGTAACCATACCTTAACAGTATTATCTACATGAGTAGTGCTTGCTTAAAAAAAAAAAAAAAAAATCTATATGAATAAATATATCTATAACTTTTTTACTGAGGTATTTTTTTATTCACACATTTAGACTTTCTCCTTAATAACATTACTTCAGAAATTTATTTTTAATTTCTAAATAGTGAAATCATATCAGCCGCCATTGACTATCAAAGTACAACAATGTTCAAAGTCAATTAAATAGTGTTAAGGTTGTTTTGTATTTACATGTAATTTTAATTGAATATTCAAAGTACCATGGAAAACAATATAGGGACCCTGTCACAAGTTGTCACTGAATGAATGTGTGTATATAAAACCAACTTTACCTCAATTATTTTCTTTTGGTTTCTAGATGTGAAGAGTCGAATTAAATCAATTTGGTTACAACTGCATAATTTAAGCATAAACAAAATCTCATTTAGTCACTTGTGTGGCTTAGTTTAAAGTGAGAACCAAGACGAACAAGTTCATCATGCATAATATGGCTGAAAACTAGTATCGGCATAGTTTTGCTTAGCAAGCATTATATTTTTCCCCCATAATGTCATCATGTTAAGTTACATAGCATAAAAGCAGTGTGGGAGAGAAGTGTATACCTCTGCACTGTGTGTCACAGGCCTGAAAAATTGTGTCCAACAGATCTTCCTCACAGATCAGACTGACCTCTGCCATGCTCTCCTTTTTGGGCTCGGAGGTAAACAGAGATCCTGTTCAAAACCCAAGAAAAGAAAACACTTTTAGCAAAACATGTACATGAAAAGGACAGAAAAAAAGGAGATGACTCATTACCCTCGCCCAGTGAAAGTCTCTTGACCACGAGGGCTGGGTAGGCGAGTTCACTGTCCATGTTGGAAATATCCGAGGAGAAGTTCAAGTTGTATGAGAACAACCCAGGAGTTGGAATCTTTGAGGTCCTTACATCTGTGTCAGGTCCCTGGGATTGTGTGGAGTAGCGTGGGGTAAAGTTAAAGTAATTATCCCCAGTCTGGGCCGATGGGGTGGAGCAGTTACGCCGAAATGGTCTGCTGTAGGTTCCTGATGTTCTCCTGTCTCCAATTGTGCCTAATGTCCCCAATGTGCTTGTGATGCTATAGGTGGCATTGACTGGAGTAATAGGAGCACGAGGGGTGTTGCAGGAAGACCCCGGTCCAGGGGAAGCTGTGGGGGTCAGCATCCCCGCAGAGGACGCAGAGTCAGAGTCGTCAGGTCGGACAGTATGCTTCTTCAGGATGGCCTCCAGGTTGAAGCGTAGGCCTGAGTGAGGGCTGTCGTAGCTGTTTGTCTGGAATTTAGGGATCTGAAAGGGTGAATTAATTTCTTGGTCTCGCCTCTGAATGGTCTGCAGCTTGCGGCAGATGCTGTCCACTGGATTGTGTCGTCTCGGGGTCACTCCGACATCCATGGTGGACCGGGACAAGAGAGAAAGCCTCGACCTACAGGAGTTAATTAGATTAAAGTTGTAGAAAAGAGCAACTAGTAATTGGTCAAATATATTAGATTACATATTATTTAATTAGTTGATATATGAAGAGTTCAGATGCAAATCCAAGAGTTCATCCATCTTTTATTAAGCATTTTCATAAGAGAATAAATGAACATACACACTTTAAAGGTCACTGCAATGTTTGCTTATATAGCTAACGTAAAGTGAATTTTCAATGTTATTTAGTTTTCTTTACGTGTTATGAACAACATTGTGTACACCTCACAACAAAATCCTAAAATAGTCATAATATAAACAAATATAACCCTCCAAAACAAACAGAAAAAAGGCAAACAAACCTGTCAAAATCCTACTAACGTTAATGGAGAATCAAATGTAAACTTTACACACACTGACGCAATACGTTGTCGACACTTTCAAAGTAAAAACACAACGGCCACTTTCAGTTTTATGTAGTGTCTCTGTTAACTTTTTGAGGGCATTAAACAAGACAATCATATTTTAAGTTACTAATGTTAAATAACAACCACACCTGAATCTGCTCAAATGCTGCCGCCGTGAACGAATCACAAAATATGAGCATAGGAAGCACCATGCAGCTGTTAGGAGGCCGTATTAAAACCTGCGATGTACTGACACCTTTCGTCCAATGATGGAACTGCAACTGAAAGTGAATGGAGTTTTGTACTCCTCAGTGTCAGTTAAATTATAGCATCTATTAAATATTTCAGTATTTAGTCTGTGCTGTATGAAGAAAAAAGTGTATCTTTTTATTCCAAGGGCTCTACTGACCTATAATCAAATCTAAAATCTCTGTTTTAGAATTTTTCAGGTAAAAGTCGATGTATTTAGTTCAAAACGTATATTATATATTGATATTTAGTGTTTAAGATTTGAGAAGTTTAAGATGTGAAATCTATTTATGATATCTAGAGGACTCTTTATAATTGGCCAGGGGTCCCATATTCAGCTCCAGCACCCTGAGTGAGAACTCTTTTTAGTAGTGGTATGATTGTGTTAGTTGCAAATGAAATCATTTGGGAGAAATACAGTTATGGGGGATAAAGTAAGACCACATTAAATTTCTTAGTTTCGCTGGATTTATTATTTAAAGTTTTGTTTTTTAATAAACATTAAATTAAATTTTTGCTTTATCTTGTAAACTACTGACTGAAGCCAAATTTAAAAAATAAAATATTGTTAGTTAAAACATTTTTGTTTGTTTGTTAGCTTGATCATAAAAATTTTAGACAATACAATACCAATATTTCACATTAGAAGAGTTAAAAAATAAATATTTGGAAATAAATATCAAATCACAGCAAAAGAAAACATTAATTATTAATTATTATTATTATTATTATTGTTATTATTATTAATAATAATTAATTAAATTGATTGATTAATAAATGAGTTAAATGACAATATTATTATTTGTTATTATTATTTATTTATCCAGTATCCAGAAAAACTAAGATTTTAATTTAATTAATGTATAATTCAACAATTTAACATATCAATTTCCATATTAATTTCTAGAAAATAAATTCTTCATTCACTTAATGTAATATCTTATCACTACAAAAGAAAAAGATCCGTCATAGTGCACGCTTTCAAACACTTGTGTGTGTTTTGGCGCTTTGGCTTTGATATGGTGTAATCTGTGAGAGCTTTACAGACGGCGCACATTCATCATGGCGAGCGTTGCATCAGCCACGAGCGCACCATCATCTCACAAGGTAACGGCACGCGTGTCGCGTTCATAATGTTTCAGTGATTTCATCCTCATGTAAATATTACAAAATCTATCCACGTTTCATATTAAACCGCGAGGTCGCGCAAATAGATGCTCGGTGGTCACGTGTGCGTGTTAAGAAGAAGATACACGACATGTCTCCGTCGTGGCGCATAGTTTGTGGCATATTTCAAGACATTATTCTGTATATTTTATTAAAAGGCATACACGTAGACGATATATAATGTTAAATGGGAAATATGTTATCAAACATTATCGTTATAGGTCATGTATGTATTCTCGTCAGATTAACGTACATTGCGGTTACGCGCATCCTCATGTAGGGCTATTGATACACACATTTACGTCACTGACTGGACTCATAGACTGTAAAATAATAGACTAATGAAATAAGTACTCAAAGTCCTCTGTCAGGGTTTTTATAAGTCAAATATAAAATGATTACAGTTATATTTAATGTACTTTTTGTGTTAAAGGCAGGCGGAATAATTTACTTACGCTAGCAACAAGAAGCTAACATGATTTTATTTTCCTTTATGCTTTTTTGTTTATAACATCAAAAATTCATGAGGTTAGTTATTGCATCACCACTGTTCATAGCTACCAATGCTAACAACTGCGAAAATACATTGTTAGCTTTTCTATTTGTTACTGCTAATTGCTCTTTGGTCATTATTTTTAATGGTCACCTTGTTTTCAGTCTATTAGGCAACAAATCTTCTGTAAACATTGCAAGGTAATGAAGGTCAGTGCATGGAGGTGCAGCTTTCATTCAACCCTGCTGATTGGTCACTAAAACTGCCTAACTCATAGATCATTTCATGTTTCAAGCCACTTCAAGTTCACTTCATGACCGAACGTGATGATGTCTAAGGGGGTGAGTTCATCAGGGGTGTAAAATGCTTAATAATTAGACATACTAAGGTGTTATTTTACCAAAAACATATAATATTCTATAATTGAAAACTGATATTCTTGCTTATTGTCATTACAGTTTAATTAGGCATATATTTATCAGGTCTTTCTTACTGTATGATTTCTTTTTTTTTTGTAATTGCACTTTATTTGAGTGTTACAGAAATCAAACCCTTATGCTTAAACTCAAATACATTTTTAAAGCAAAACTTAAACTTTACATCTCCATTTAGAGTAGAAAGTCCAATTTTTGCAGGTCATTGTGACCTTATATTTTTGTTCAATGAGATAAGCTAGTAATGCTTATTTTGTATTTAGACTAAATATTTTGCTCATTCATTCTTGCAAGGAAACATCTTATAACTCACCACAGCATAGCCTTTTACAGTGACCTAAAGCTATATAATTATAGCTGTGGCTCAAAACCTACACTTGGTTGGTGATAAATCTATAAACAGCTATACTATATTTAAATACTTCCGTTTTAGTACAGTGTTTGGTGTGTTTCTTGTACAATCACGGGATGTTTTATCCTGGACATTTAGAATTTAAATTTTAAAAGTAGCCTAGATATTAAATTCATTTATCCATTTTCCTTCGGCTTAGTTTCTTATTAATCAGGGGTCGCCATGGGAATGAATGCCTAGATATCAAATATGATTTTCAAATTTTTTTTACATGTTTGTATATTAAACTACTGTGCATAAACTACATTTGCATCATGATAGGATCACAATCCACCCTATAAATTAAGTTATATGGATATTTTGTGAAGGGAATACCTGTTAAGATAATATAAATATTTAATATTGCTCTTTCTGTTTCAGGGATATGTATCAATATTAAATAAAATCAGTGAACAGCAGTATTCTAATTACTTATTAATTAAGATACTTAGTAAATATGTAAGACTGAAAATTAAGTGTTCTAATCGCACACCACAGCTTTAAAATTTCTTCTGTTCATCGTAATATATGTTTCTTTTCTTTTAGGAAAACGGCATGGCTGACAGTGCCTCTAGCTTTAAGGTATATTTTAAACGCATCATACATATAAAACGTAAAATACAGCATTTACCTGTGTTTATGTATAATAACTTATATTTGATTGTAGCTTTAACTTATTTTGATTGTAATGCAACAATGTGCATCTTTTGTAAAGCTGCTTTGAAACAATAATTATTGTAAAAATTGCTATACAAATAAACTTGAACTTACCTTCCATGAGATGTCCAGTGGCACCATTCTGATGTTTGATTGACGAGTCAGACAATTAGAAATTTTCCTTCTCAATCAAAACTTGATAATTCCTAAGGTAATTCCACTTTCTTCGGGTTTAGTCCTCACACACCGTTTCCAAAACAGCCAGAGCATCGCAAAAGATCATTTCTTTTAGTCTAAACATCTGGAGTTGGCTTGTGATTGACCCGTTTTCCCATATATCTAATAATTTGACATCCATGGCTCCAAAATGTGACCTTGGACCCCTTATTTTGGCAGTTAGTAGACGCTTACTCTTCCAACAGGTCCCGTGCTTAGCAAAAGGGAATCCAGTGTCTCAGATCACTGTAAGCCCTGTCAATCAAGCTTGACTTGGCTTTGGGCTTGCTCTCTGTCCCTCTACCTTTCACTGACTCAGGTGGTGATTAAGTCTGAGTTCTGTACATCATCTTGCCATAACATAAACTATGGTTAAACAATATATCATTTAAGCATCAATATTGCAATGTGCGTATCTGCAATAGTCACACCACAGGATTAGATTATTAAGTAAAGATTACAAGATAAAGACATTATTACATTTTATTTTGTATTATTATTTATACAATGATGACCATGATATTTTAAATTTGATTGTTTAATTTCTGTACATAAATACTGTTAGACTCTCTGGAATGATAAAGAACTGTTTATTTGTTTATTTTTGCTTGTAATATGTTATAACGTATGCAGATGCACTGCATAGAAAAAGAATTGATGATCGTAGTCAATCTAAATTAATGAAATCTTTACAAAAGAAAGCTATTCAAATCATCTGGTGAAATTTTATTAATATCACAATAAATATAATGGCAAAACAAAAAATCGCAATGTCAGATTTTACCAATTTTGTTCATCACGAATGTAAACATGTGCAATATTCTAGTTTTAGGTTGGTGCATACAAAAGCAGAGAATTTATTGAGTATATCAATGACAGAAGCATCATATATTAAGCAGCATTTATTAAGAACTTTTAAAGCTGTAATGTTAAGCTCACAGTTATGTTGACATAACCCCATTTGGCTTTGCTTCTGTCTGAAATGAGACATTTTAAATATATTTATCTTGCATTACAATGAACATCACAGAAGCATTGTGTCTAAAAATAAAAGAACACTTTAGTAGTCCATCTGTAATAACAGATTTAAGTTTAGGTTCATTGAATGAATTTGAACAAATCATCCTTTGGAAAATAATCTATATTTACACTCTTGCTTTAGTCCCTGTTCAACATGGAAAAAAGTGATAAGTAGATATTCTATAAATTATTTATCTTCTATATTCAAGAGAAGAATAAAGTACCAAAATAATAACTCACAAATATTAATTTGAGATGTGATAAAACAAAGAAAAACATTGTGCTCCCTTTCCAAAATAATAAGTTTTTCCATGAAATGTTTTTCCAGCTAAAAAAAAATGTTTTAGCTGGCGGCAATAAATATTAAGAGAAAGTGCAACACTAGAAACAGCCTGTAATGTTCATGAGAGAATACAAAACCATTTGAAACAATTTCACATTTTTCCCAATCACCATTCAGGGCTTCGTAAGATTAACTGTATTTAAATTTTTGGTGGACTGTTAATTAAAGGCACACAACGTGCTTTTATTCGTTTCAGGAGCAGACGGCATTACGTAAAATATCAGTAAACAGAAATCTAGTCTCGTAATTTTGTGATTTACCTGCTTCCAACATTCTTTCCAATTCCATAAACTGTCTGAGATGAAAAGGCACAAACACGTGCACTGTTACTATACTTAGTCTTCTGGCAGAGGTGTTTATTCTTGGTTTCATCATCATGGCGGCATGCAGAGTATTGTTTGTCTATTGATGAGGATAATCGCATTTAAGCCTCTTGAAGTGCCTGAAGACTGTTGTGTGTGAGGTCACTTAACCAATGACTGGATGATGGCCAAACTGCAGCTCTCATTACAATGTAGCCTCAACAAAATTATAGCACTGGCTCTGAACATTTAAAGTAAAGGCACTAATTAGAATACTAAAGAATTGAACATGCCATCATCAAGGACAATAATAGTACTGCTGTTGACCACCTCTGTAAATCTGCTAACATGATTGCTGTCGAGACTCAACAGAGATTACAGACGGTTGTTCAATTGGATCTAGCATATTTATAGTTTGCTACTCGTAAAGCACTCGTAACTGAGGTGTCAGACAACACAGTCCTTAGATTAGTGTGCAATGACAGCACCAGAAAATGAAGCATTTAAGATAAACATTGTCTCAGGAGCTGATATTCTTTTAATTCACAGTCCATCAGTTGGAAGGATGTACAGCTGGCCAATCCAGTGGTTCCAAAAAGTGTTTAAAAAAAACTTGAAATGTGTGTGCATGAAATTCTAATTTGTTAGTCTTAAAGGGGACCTCTAATGCAAAATAAATTGCAACACAGTTGTGTGGGAGCAGTATGTAAATATAGCCGGGCTCTAATAAATAAATACTAAATCATTAATTCTAATTTTTATAACAACACTTCATAATAACAGTCTGTAGAAACACTTTGATTGGCATTCTTTCTTTGTAAATGTTATCAACGGAAGACAGTCCCACCCTTTATTGACAAGCTCTCCTTTATTAGCATTCAACAGCCCTTACTGAGAAGCAGCCGTCTGCCATTAGAATTTTGAATCTGGAACTGTGGTGACATAGGCTGCGTCCCAAATGGCACACTATGCACTATGTACTTACACACTCAATAGCATAGTGTATGCATGTAGTGTCATTCCAAATGGAACACTAATGTATTTTTACAAAGCAGATATTCAGATCGTTTCCCTGATGACATTTGACAGTTGCCAAATTAGTGAAATAAATAGCCAAACTACCAAATAATACCTGCCATGAGTATAACCGCATTCACCACGGTATAATCACTCTCGTATGATAATTTTGCTTTCACAATCCAAAATAAATTAATTAATCCAACCTCATTGCTCGAAAGCTCCGCCTCTTTTCCTACATGAACAAAGCCTGAAGTGTCCAACATTCCACGCTTCTTTTTAATGGTTGAATAAGTGCATCATCTGAGTATTTAAAGTGCGCTTATTCTTCTTTAGAATTTCAGTATGACTGCCATACTTACACTATTTATACTACAAAATGGTGCAATAGTATGTGATTTGGGACTCACTTACATAGGCATGTATAACTTCAGCTTCTTTAGAAAAGAGTGGTGGGTGCACAATCTCATGTGAATTTAAAGTAACAGTCACCAAAAGGGCAAAATTTTCAATCAAAGTTTAAAATGGACATTTTTAAAGACATGTTAAAAACAATTTTGAGTGATAATTTTTAGCTGAAATTTAACATATACACTCTAGGTACATCAGAGACCTATTTTACATCTTGTAAAAAGGAGCACAATTGGTCCCCTTTAAGGGGAATAATAAATCTGCTAGTACGCTAGAAACATAGTATTTGTAATCGTAAATCAAAATCTGACCAATTGTTTCCATTCTGGAATGGCAGTCTTTCTTAGATGATGTCTGTTTGATGGCTTATGTGAAATATGGTTAGCCATGGCACTCCAAACGTTGGGTTTGGAGGAAGTTGGGAGAATGAGCACTAGAGTAAAACCCTGCCTTCTATTTATTATTCTGTTTCAATTGAAAATACTTCCAAGTATTTCAGGTTGAAGTCAATAAATATATAAATAAATGATTATAATAAGAAATATAATGTAACTTATATTGTATTCTTCTACTGCTAATGTGTTAAAATAGATAGACACACAAATTTAACAAAATGTATTGTTAGAATAAAATCTATAAATTCAAATAACCAATTTTATTTATTTTTGTTTGGCCAGTGAAAATATATCAGGATGACTGAGATTTAATCCAGGGTGTCTGTAAGGTTTTAAAATGTCTTAATTTCAAAAAACAAAATTTTTAAAAAGTCTTAAATTTACAAAAATATTGTGTTGTAGGTCTTAAGTAATTTTAAACAGGTCTTAATGTTCCTGTCTTCTTGTAAAGTTACCCAGTCAGGTCAACACCTATCCAATCACTAACATTCCATCTTAATAATAGTTTTAACAAAAGTTTATTTGTTGACTCTATTTACTAGTATGGTTTGATTATATTCTTTACAATAACATTTGTTTCTAATGTTTTTTAAAGTTTTAACTGTGCCACAAAATCCTTAGCATTTAACCTTGTGTAAGTGAAATTTCTTTCATAATGGTCTTAAAAAGGTCTTAAAAGTCTTAAATTTGACTTGATAAAACTTGTAGAAACTTTGTAATCTAATAGGTTGCTGCTGACATTCTCAGTCAAAGAAATGTTTGCTATGAAACAGTGAGAGTAATGTGGTGCTCACCTTTACACCATAATCTGGGATTACAGAGGGCTGCCGAAGGAACATGTAATCTGTGAGAGTGTCTAATCTCAGGGTTTGACTGCATTTCTGTTAGAGCAATCCCTAGAAATAAATATAGGGATAGAAAGAGATGGATTTCACAGACTGACCCTGTTCTGTGTCTGTAAAAAGCTGTTGGCTGGTGAATTATGTCATCTGATGCTCTGATTATTTTTATTTAGGCTGCAGACACAGTGATACAGTTAGCACAAACCCATAAGCCAAAACCTGACCCAAATGGCCTGGTGTTTGGGTCAGTCTTCACTGACCACATGTTGACCATTGAGTGGAGTCTTCAAGAAGGTTGGCAGAAGCCACACATCCAGCCTTTTGGGAACCTGTCCATGCATCCAGGCTGTTCTGCCCTGCATTACGCTATACAGGTCAGTTCTTGCCATGTTGAGTTTCATATGTGTGCTTAGATGTCATAAAATCATTTGACTTCCATTAGTAATTATTACTAGGACTGGGTATTGATTCAAATGCCATGGTTTAATTTGATTCTGATTCACAAGCTCTTGATTCTATCTGTGATTCGAATCTTGATCTGAATCAGTGATTATAGACTTACTACAAGTGCTATTGATGTAGCTTAAAATTATTAGTGAACACTTACGCTGCATCCTAATCTGCATACTTATTCTAGAAAATGATTCACAGCTTTTGAGGAAAGACATAGAATTGACACAAAAAACAATTCATTGAAGTATTTTGTCAGATTTTGTCCAGACTTAGTAAACCATTTTTAAATCTAAACCTATTGTGTGCAGCTTTTTGAGGGTATGAAGGCATATCGGGGGCCGGACAACAAAGTGCGTCTCTTCAGACCCATGTTGAACATGAATCGGATGTTGAAGTCTGCTCATCGGGCCTGTCTGCCTGTAAGACTGTCATACAGTATCTCCATTTTTACTTTATCGCATTCATGATATAATCAACACAGGAAAATGCACTTCTGCTTTTTCTAATTTTCTCTGTTTGTCTGCAGAGTTTTGATTGTGCTGAGTTGATGGAGTGCATCAAGAAGTTAGTGGACTTGGATCAGGACTGGGTTCCTCACTCAGACTCTGCCAGTCTCTACATTCGTCCCACATTACTGGGCACAGAAGTGAGTACTGCACAAAACTGAATTCATTATCATACAAGTCTGTCGATGGCCTGTCAGATCTTGCATTTACTGTAAATATGGCTTTTTAAAGCCCCCTTGAAATTAAAATAAACCTTTTTAGATGTTAATTTCAGTATGTTACTTTTAGGGATATCTATTAATTAGTGTGCTCCAAAACAGGGACAAAATTACTGTTTAAAAGATATAAAACTGATATAAACATCACACCACAAACCTCTGTTTCTTATCAAGTCTTGACCTATCAAATGGTCTGTAGTATCTGACATGCTTCACCGCCTTTAAGATGCTTCTCATTTCCTTTTCATTTGATGCACTTGATCTCAACCACTCTCACTGGCAGAGCTGTGATAAAAACAAAAGGCTATTGGCTGTTTTTGTAAAGGGGAGGAGCCTTTAAGAGTCCCGCCCTCTCTTAATTTTTTTTTGTTGAGATTAAGTCAAACATTGAATAAAAATGCATATTTCAAAGAACTTCACATGACCTTTATTTTGTTTTAACATGCATTTACTGTAGGATGCTGTTTGTTAAGTTCACAGTACTGTCACATAATACATTTATGTAGACAATTCAGATTTTACTTGCAGAAATAAATGTTTCATATGGCAGAAAAAATTGAAACATTGAATTATTCATGAATTAATAATTTAAAATTGTATAATTATGTATTAAACTTAATGATTTTCTTTTCATTGGCAATATAAACTGTTATTTTACATTTGAGACACTGTAGTGTATAAATACACTCTAACTTCATGAATGTAAATGTATTTTATTCTGTAAAACTGTGGAAAAGCAAATATCTAAACAATTTGTGCTTGAAATTTAAAGTTGATATTTCAAAAACTTTTATTTCACCAAGATTTTGTTTAAATGCAGTACCAAATGTTTCTGCTAGATGATTTATGTGTGTGTTCACATGTCAAATGCCCAAACTTTTGTTAGTAAAAAAAAAGAACAAAAAACAAAATGGACAATATTTTGATCTAAAATGACCAAATAGCAGTTCATTCCGCTGTGGCGACCCCAGATTATTAAAGGGAAATAAGCAGAAAAGAAAATGAACGAATGGCTGACCGAATAGCACTACAGTTAACCTATAAACTCTTTACAACCCCCTTGTGTGAGCAGCCCACCCTCGGTGTGAAGAAGCCCTCCAGTGCATTGCTGTTTGTCATTCTCAGTCCTGTGGGCTCGTACTTCAGCACAGGAGCTAAACCAGTGTCTCTGTGGGCTGACTCCAAATACATTAGAGCCTGGAGAGGAGGAACAGGAGACTGCAAGATGGGAGGGTAAGCAAATGAGGGAGAAACATGTAACATGCAATGTGTTTGTGTTTCTACATTACTCATTATTTTACTACAAAACACTACATGAATAAGAATCATTGTTGCATACTTACTAATCTTGATCCAAATGCTGCAGGCTTGAATTAATGTTAAAAATGTCATTGTAAATGTACAGAATTGTGTGTGTAAATAACCATGTTTTACAGTATCCTCCCTTTATACTGAATTGACACCCTTGGTAAATATGATAGAAATAGAACATGCATTAAATTGAAGGCTGTGGGAAAAAAGTACTTCATTGTTAAATCTTTTAGTCAAATTATTAACAAAAATATAAATAGCTTTCGTTGAGAACAAACAATTGCAAACACACCACAGTTTTATGAAGTATATTCCATTTGATGTTTTATATTTTATTACACCTGGGTTATGAGGAACAGCATATTGGCCAAGCATGACCTCCTGTTTCACTGGGCTATACATATGAGGTAACACAAAGGCCAAACTCAGTAAGTCACACATAAATTATAAACAAAATACATCCCAGCGGTCAACTTGACATAAAAACAACATCAAAAACATGTCAAAAATGCTAATTAATTTGATGTCAATTGTCAAACTTTATGTCAAAGCGACATTTAATTGGCATGTAAAACTGGCGACAATATTTGATTACGTTGTGTTTTCTTTCTTATATTATAAAACTTTTTGTGTCGTTATTTTGGGTGGCAAAAGGGCATCAATGTGTGGATGTCAAGGTTTTGACATCAAATTGATGTCCATTTTTGACATATTTTTTATGTATTTTGACATCAAGGTGACCCCTGGGTTAGCTCCTAATTTCGAAAAAAGGTTATCAAACTTCACAAAATCGCAAGTGGCTATAAGAACAAAGCAAAAATACAGAAAAGTCATATTTCCATCACATCTGGGGTGATAGTAAAGAATCTCTGTCCACTAGGAGTGTTTTGAATCAGCCCGAAAAAGAATTGCAGAAATTATTGCAGTTAGCATTGAGCAAAGGATGTGAATGTACATTTGCTTTTGTTTTTAATTTGTAATAAATTTGCAGAGATGTTAAACAAATGTGGATCACATTGACAATGTGTGGTATTGTTTGTAGAATTGTATGGGAAATAATGAATTTAATTCATTTTAGAATAAGGTTGCAACATAAGAAAATGTGGGAAAAGTACTGTGAATAATTTTTGGATGCAGTTTAGTTGGGTTTTGGGGTCAGAAAGTCTTCAAAACAATAGTCTAATATACCCTACATCACCCTAAACTGTTTAAAAAGTAAAAAAAAAAAAAATCTAATCCAAAAATAGACTCAAGCTACTCTAGGTTTTGGAGTTAATATTTCAATCATATGATCAAAAAGGTCCCGGCTGGGTCAGTTGGCATTTCTGTGTGGAGTTTGCATTTTCTCCCTGTGTTAGCGTGGGTTTCTTCCGGGTGTTCCAGTTTCTCCCAAAGTCCAAACACATGTGCTATACGTGAATTAAATAAACTAAATTGGCCGTAGTGTATGTGGGTGAATGAGAGTGTATGGATGTTTCCCAGTTATAGGTTGCAGCTGGAAGGGCATCCCCTGCGTAAAACATGCTGGATAAGTTGGCAGTTCATTACGCTGTGGCAACCCCTGATTAATAAAGGGACTAAGCCAAAACAGAAAATGAATGAAAGACATTTCATACATTTCATAGCGTTCTTTGCTCATTTTTATATCATTATTAGTGCAGGGCCCTGTAAACTTGTGCATAAATCTGACATAAAATCACTCACACGAGAACATAATCCTATGCAGAATAGCATCCAGTGCTTTTTCAGCCTTTGAATGTGTGTGTGAATGCAACAGTACAATGGGGGTTTTTCAGGACCAAGACAGATCATTGATTGTGAAGAAGGTACATTGTGTGAAATGTTTTTTTTTTTTTTTTCAGGAACTATGGCTCATCTATCTATGCCCAGTACGAGGCGGTGGATTTTGGCTGTCAACAGGTTTTATGGCTTTACGGGGATGATCATCAGATCACAGAGGTCGGCACTATGAACCTTTTCCTCTACTGGATCAATGAGAAAGGAGGTGACGACTGTTTACAAACTGACTGAACTTACACTCTGTTTTGATAGATAAAGTAGACTGGTTATCTATATTTACTTTAACAGACAGCATAGTATGCGGAAGTTAATGTAAATTTGCAGGACCATCAAATGGCTACAAATCGATGATGTTAGATTCACAATTTCTAGCCTGGTTAAAGATCACTAAAGACCTCTAGTGGCAAATTGACAATTGAATGCGTTGTTTTTAAAATGTCAGAAGTGCATCAAATTTCTTTTCAATATTGTACTAAATATAAGTACTATATATAAAAGAACAGGGCTTTTCAATTTTCTAATGCCATGGAATCCCAAATAAGGTTTTTATTCAATAGTTTCCGATTGTAAAATGTAAAACACATCTGGATATTTTCTTTTATAAAGACCGATTATAGTTTTATACATTATTTTAAAATACTTTATGGAAAAATACTTTGTTTCTGTTAAGCTACATTATCATTATATTACGAATATGTATTATTATACCTTTTTTAATATTTATTTAGTACAGATTTTAATATTTTACATATTTGCATGAATAATATTTAATCAAATTACTAATTTGTATTTCTTTATATCTGTTTTAATATTTTTATTATTTATAGATTTCTGATCATGTATTTATTTGAATATTATATATAATATTTTGGCAGGAATTATATAGTAATTATTTTATTATTTATTTAAAAAAGTATGTAATTTGTGTCTAAATAATTAAAAAAATGTTATATGGGAAATATTTTATTTCTGTTCAGAATTATATTACTATTATATATTATATTTTATCGTTCTTTCTTTAGTGCGTATTTTTATATTTTACTTCATATTTGCATGATTAATATTTAATCTAATTACTAGTTTGTATTTCTTTTTTATAATTTTGAATTATTTATACACTTTATAATGTATTTATTTGAATATTATATAATATTTTGGCAGGAACTCTACAATAATTGTTTGATTATTTATCATTTATATAATCATAGAATGTGTTTCTGAATTATTTCAAAATATTATATTTTGTTTCTGTTAAGCTACATTGTTATTATATTATATATTATTTATTTTTAGCGATCTTTATTTAGTGTATATATTTGTATATTTTACTTCATTTTTGCATGATAATTTGCAATTTTTTGCAATTTCTTTCTTTCTATTTTATTAATGTATTATTTATAAAAAAAGGAATTAAATTATAATTATTTAATATTGTAATATTTTTTATAAATATAGTATTTATTTTCTTTTATACTGTTTGTTTATCTTCTTAAATGTTGTTGCAGTTTTTTGTAATAAAAAAAATTGTTTTTAAGATATGCATTCATCTTGTAATATTTTATAGAAAATTGCATAATAATTATTTTTTCTTTCCAGAGGAGGAGCTTGCAACACCACCTCTAGATGGTATTATTCTGCCAGGTGTTACACGGCAAAGCATCTTAGAACTTGCTCGCCAATGGGTAAAACATGGCAAAATCATACTTTTAAAATGCTCAAAAATAAATGAGCAAAATAGTCACAGAACTGACTCTCGGGAGTTTGGGCTGCACATTTTCTTCTAGTGTACAGTGAAATGAGATTTGATAAGGAAAATTTGTACCTACACCTACACAAGTTTGTTTAAAAGGTTATCATTATCTTTCAGAGTGGGTTTAAAGTGTCGGAGCGATATCTGACCATGTCTGACCTGCGGCGAGCTCTGGAGGAGAACCGAGTAAAAGAGATGTTTGGTTCTGGAACAGCTTGTGTTGTCAGTCCAGTCGGCAGGATCTTATATCAGGGAGAAGTGAGTTACAGCTTGTTTTGGACAGTTAGAGCACTGCACACTGGTTCGTTATCAAAACATGCAGGCAAATCAACAGATGTCCACTTCTCAGTCAACATCTTTTCAGTCACGGTTTCCGCAGGGTCTGTAAAAATCTAAAATTCACTGATAAACTTGTAAAAAAAGTTTTAGTCAGGTCTTAATTTTCCTATGTCCATGTAATGCTTTTTAGAACGTTTGTGTATGAAGTGATTTATTGACTGGGTTATTTTTGTAAATTACAGTACAAAAACCTGTTTTTTTATTTTTGCAGTATTATTACTTTACAATATATGGTATATGGAAACTAGTAAAAGTTACTCTGTCAAATTTAGGGTGTCTGCAGGATCTTAAAAAGTCTTACATTTTTAAAAACACAATTTTAGTCCTTAAAAAGTCCTAAATTCACTGAATTATTCTCTTAATTTTTGCATCTTAATTTTCCTTTGTGTACAGCTACTCAACCCGTCCAAAACACATTTAATCACCAACAATACATCTAAATAAAACTTGTAGCAAAATCTATTTATAACTAATATTATAACAATCTGTTGTGCATACATTTAGTTTATTAAAGTTTTAATATAATAAAGTTATATTAAAAAAATTACACGCATACAATAGGGTCTGCTTGATTCAACACAATATTTAAAATATGTGACAAACAAAATAACTAATTAGAATTTTTTTCTTAACTGGCCAAATAAACATTTTTTTTCTGCTGGGCCATTAGCGTATAGCCCTATCTAAGTCTGAAATTTTTATTCTTAATGGTCTTTAAAAGTCTTAAAATTGACTTGGTGAAACTTGAAGAAACCTTGCAAACTACACAGTTAAATTTTCAACATCAAAAAAGACAGATCACAGTTCAAGATCCTACAACCCAATTCATGAATGTAATTAAACAGAAAAAAAACTTGAGAAAGGTTAAACTTGGAACCTGTTAATTAACAGATTATTTTTAACAGAGAAGTGTAGATCAGTAATATGTTCAATTTGAATAAAAAATTATTTACTTTGCATTCAAAATTAATAATTTATTCAAATTGAACACATTACTGATCTACACTGTAAAAATATCTTTTAATTAACATGTAATAATTCATCAGGTGTAATTTAACACACATCATCACCACAACAACAAAACATTCAATGCAGAGGCACCAAATTACTTTAAAGTAAAAACGTTGCCCTATATACATTTCTGGAGATTGTGAATTATGTAGCCAAAGCTATGTATGGCTGCATTTCACAGAGCGGAATGACGCCGTTCCTTTTTAGACTGCTTTCCCGCTGTTACCAGTTTGTCCAGTTAGCTCACCATGTATGAAGGCGGACTTGAGATGCAGAGCAGAGTTGACAATGGGGTTGGAGCCTAGAGAAGAACAGTTTCAGAAAGCAGGTGAGACAAAACAAGAGCTAAGAAATAAAATAAACAATTAAATAACAGGGTGAGAATGTATTAAAATCTGAAAATGTGCTAAAAAATTAGACGAGGGCTTTTCTTTTTTTTTGGATTGCTTTTTAAAACACTGCGGTTGGGTTTAGGGGAGTAGTGGGAGGGTCAATCAGTGCTTTTTAAAACACTATTGGTTGGGTTTAGGGAAGAGGGAGAGTTGGGAGATCGGTTGGTTGGTTGGTCAGTCAGTCGACAGCGGCCTCTTGTGGATTTACGTGAGAACAGCAGACGCGAATGGTACTCGCTGGAGAAATTTGTGGTCTGAAAAGCATACACAGTGGCCTCTGGTGGATTTGCGAAAACAAGAACTGCAAAAGTAAACATAGCTCCTGGGACGTATTTGATGCTCTCCAGAAATGTATATAGACATAGATTGAGCCTGGGTTGGAATGTGGTTGTGGTGGTGGTGATATGTGATGCATTTCATTCAAAATGGTCTTAAAAACTCTTTACATTTCTTAAACCTGCAGAAACCCTGTGAGTTGAACTCTTTTCCAGCATGTTTTTCTTATACTAATTGTTTATCCTGCCCTGTAGAATCTGCATATTCCATGCGAGGGAAGTTTTCCTCCACTTGCCTCCAGACTACTAAAGGAGCTCACAGATATTCAGGTAAGATATCGACACACACATTTATAGGCCTCATGTATTTTTAACAGCATTCAGAATGATTCCAATATTTCACAATACTGTTTAAAACAATGGAAATGCAACATGTCTCCTTAATCAAGTCTGATCATGCCTTTAAATTTGCTTAGTGACCACAGAGAAATAATTATAGAAAATAAAATAAATTGTAAAAATTAATCACGCAAAATCTTAAAATGTTTAACTGTCATGCATGGGAATGTTTCACTTAGATTTTTATATTGTTCTCACACTGCTTGAGATTAGAATTGCTCCATCACTATACATTTTTAAATCACTCCTAAAAACGTACCCATTTTTCTTGGCTATTTAATATTATTTTATTAGTCCTTTCTACTGCTTCATTTTTAAATTTATTCAGTTGTTTTTCTTGTCTTATTTCTGTTTTTATATTCTGCCTTTTTATTTTACTTTGACCTATGTTTTTGAATGTGCTTCATAAATAAATTTAATAAAACTTGAAAGTACTTGAATTTCAGACATATGAATTCAAGGCATGGAAAGTGCTTTAAAACAAACATAGGTCCTTGAAAGTGCTTGAATTCAATTTGAAATTGATGTTTATAATATATTCATGTTTTAAAATAATGTTTATGGTTTATTCCAACAATTGTGCTCTTTTTTCCAAAAACAGAATGATAAAACTGAGAAATTCTTAAATTAAAAGTCTTTAATTTAAAATCATGTACACATAATACTGACAAATAATGCACGTTTTATTAACATTTTACTAAGAAACCACTTTTGAATATCACCATTATTGAATTCAAACACATTTTATTAAAGTTATTTGAGAAGGAATGTTTAAAATGGTCATTTTTTGACCTATATTTTGACATATTTAAAGTAAATATTAAGTGTAAGTAAAATGTTAAGTAAAGTAAAGACTATGATGGTGTTACATATGCTGGGGCATGAATTATAAAAGGTGCTTGATTTAAAATGAATGGTGCTTTAAAAAGTCCCTGAATCTGCTGTTCATGACAGCGTGGGAACCCTGTGTTTTTCTGGTTAATTTGTGTATACATTTTTTGTGTGTTTGTACTGTATGTTCTTATGTAAGACTTTAACTAGACTTCTAATTATAACGTAATAATATGAATAAACCATAACCATAATGACATGCATATTTGTATTTTATTTTTCAAAGAGAATTATTGTTTGTTTGTCTGCTATTTACGACTAATAATACTTAATTACTTCAATATTTGTATTTATTTGCTTTCAAGAACACTTATGTTTTCTTCCTAATTATATTTTTAATTCTTGTATTTATTCCCTTACATTTTTATTCACTTATTATGGTAATCACCATGTACAAAAATGGGGTCTAAATATTGAGTTATTGCAGCCCTTTGTGGTAAATTGGGACATTTTTTGTCTCGGTTCATTTTGTATCTACGCTGCTTCTTAAAAAAAAAAAAAAAACACATTTAACTCCCACCTTCCTATCACAAACTACCTTGGACTAACAGAACAGTCAGAATAAAATCATATTGTGCATTTCTATTGTTGCCTTTTTGCAGTATGGACGAACCCCAAGTGACTGGTCTTGCATCATATAAAGGATCCTCACTATCACCAACATAAACAAGTTCTCCAAAAAAGCTTTATTTGTGGCTTCATGGAAAAATGATCCCGCCACATTTAAGTATGTTTTGTTTTTATACGAAGTTTACCAACTAACTAAAACCTAGAGTAGCAATAATGTGTTGTTCTTTTCCGAACATAACCACCCAGATGCCTCTTCATTGTCACATTTTCTCAAATATTTTAAAATATAACCAGATTATCACAGTTCATCACCAGCTGTTTCATGAACACTACCAGAGATATCTGAAATATTTCCTCAGTGTATAGTTTGTTTCAACGTTCAGTGGAACTATAAATGCACTTCATTGTTGATAATATGAAAAAATGCAGCTAATGTCATATTGCACAAACTCTTGAAACTTCTGAAAGACATTTATAGATATTTAAGATAGTTTGTTTTTTGCCGTAGAGCTTTATTTTTTAAAGAATCGTAACTGTTTCAAACAATTAACATTTGAAGACTACTAACTGATAATAGTGAATAGGTGTTGTTGTTGCTGCTGTTGTTTTTAAAATGCTACCATTCCAAGGACACAAAGAGGGAGAGGGGTTATTTAATAGAGATCATTTTTCCACCCAACAGGAACCATTATTGTTATTGTTTGTAGGTGTTTGTATGATCGAACAAACTGATCCCTGTGTACACCTTTGTTGATATAGGAATAAGATTTTAACAGTTATGAAAGCACAAAGACATGAAATGATAGAGATTTTTGTAACAATTTAGATACTGTTTATTGCAAAGATCTGGGTATTTTGTAAATGTGATAACAGGAATAAAACAGATGCAAAAAAACAGTCTGTCATTTTCCTTATTGTACTTGGCAATTAATATACTTGGTAATATTCAGTTTTTATAATTTATCATTTATTATCAGTTTAATAGTGACATAAAAAAAAATAGTGAATACCAAAAAATGGTTGTGGTAAATCAAATCTCCCTGCCATACCATAGATGTCCTTCTTTTAAACTGCACTATTAGTATCAAAATTAAGTGTCTGGGCTTTAAATAAAGTAAAAAAGCTAAGACATGCTGTATAGGTGAATTGGGTAAACAAAATCGGCCATACAGTATGTGTGTGTGAATGTGAATGGGTGTTTCCCACTACTGGGTTGCTGCATCCTCTGTGTAAAATATATGCTGGAATAGTTGGCAGTTAAATCCGCTGTGGCAACTCCTGATTAATAAGGGACTAAGCTGAGGGAAATGAAGCACTTTAAAATGGGCGGGGCTTGCGTGTCTATAAATGTTCAGGCATGAGTCACTATGATGTAAAGCCATAGACCAGTTCCAAGCAGGAATTGTTTTAATATTATTATTATTTTTTGTACCCTATCTCTTTTGTGATATATCTGACACGTTTGTTTTATATAAGGTGATATTTAACAATAATATGAGTATGAAAGCGTCATGGTGGTGTAGTATGTAGCACGATTGCCTCACAGCAAGAAGGTCTCTGGTTCGAGCCTTGGCTGGGTCAGTTGGCGTTTTTATAAGGCATTTTAACATTTAATACAGGTAAATTAGGTGAGCTAAATTGTCTGCAGTGTGTGTGTGTGTGTGTGTGAATGAGATGGTATGGGTGTTTCCCAGTAATGGGTTGCAGCTGGAAGGGCATCTGCTATGTAAAACATATGCTGGATTAGTTGGCAGTTCATTTTGCTGTGGCGGCCCCCTGATTAATAAAGGGACTAAGCTGAAAAAATGAATAAAAAAGAATGTTACAGTACCAAATTTGTACACAAGATGGCGTAATACAACAAACGATGGGCCTAAATTCTTATGAATCATTGCAAGTTTTTACGTTGAAAGGCATGGAGTGGGGTGCTAGTCTGTGGGTGGTTTTATAAGTATATCTCTCTAGAAATGATATCTCTCTAGAAATGATTTTAATAATAATAATTGAAATGTTTTATAATTAACTGAATTCAACAAAAATATATTTGCGGCCATTTTGCTTATATATATATATATATATATATATATATATATATATATATATATATATATATATATATATATATATCACTTAGAAATGATTATACATGATTAACAATAGTTACTAAGAGGGATAGGGTTTGGAATCTGTAAAATGTGCTTAAGAGGGGAAAATTATCCAAACATTGGCTTGAATAATTGTGCATGTGTGTCCCTTGTGTGTGCATGAGGTAGTAGAGAGATAGAGAACATTATTGACCAATAAGAAAAACATGTTTTACTCGGTCATTTAAAAAACTAGAACAATCACCTGTTTGTTTTGTTTTTTAAATGGCAATATTTGCTCATGGTTTATAACTTCCAACATGCTTTAATACAGGTCTGGTTATTGGTAACACTTAAAAAATGTGCAACAGACTAAATGTGATTAGAGTGACCTTAATCACCGGTGAACTGTGAAATAATGCTCTTGCCTTGAGAATAAGGGGAGAGAAATCAACATGGACCTGCAGAAGCCTGGATCCAGAGCGCGCTGGGATCAGATCACTTTTTTAAGCAGAAACATATTGATTTATATGGAGCTGTAATTGCTTCAATATGTTCTGGATGACTCCCCCGTAATTGAGGCCTGGCAAAGACACACTCCTGGAAATGCCCAGTGCCAGGCAGCGGGTAGAGAGGCACCCCACCCAATCCCCTGTGCCAGCGAGAGGGGAGAGCATCCCCAAACCTGGCCCATCTTCATTTACAGGCTGAGGCTTCCCTGCTCACAGGTTCACTGAGCATCTACTCATCTGATAAAGGGCAAGAATTTGGCAAAGTGTGTAAAAGCTGAAACCTGAAATCCGTTGATAAGATTGTACATTCCTTGCACCTTACAAGCTGGCATGGGTTTGTCATTATAGCATGTGCAGTACTTTCTTGTTGCTCTATTAGATACAGTGCATTTATAACACTTATTGCTGTATGTTTTTATTATTTATGTATTTAATAGAAGCTATTTGAAGTTCCTTTAATGGAGTTTAGGATAAATGCTTTGTAAGATTAAGTTGATTCAACCTACTTAATTTAACTCAGTATTTTCTTACAGTCTAGCTATCTTTTGTCTTAGAAAATTGGACAAAAATGTACTTAAATGGATAGTGCGAACAAAAATGGTAAATGTTTAGCATTTACTCACACTTAGGTGGTTCTAAACATGTATTAGTTTATTGTTATTTTATTATAATATGAAAAATAAAATACTACACTGTAAAAAAAAAATCTTCCTGCTTCATATTTTTTAGTTGAATCACGTTATGTTTTCTAGTCATCTCAAGGTAAATTAATCAAACAAAGTTAAACTTTCATTCATTCATTGTCCTTTGGCTTGGTCACTGATTTTTCCGAGGCCGACACAGCGGAATGAACCATCTTGAATGAACCATCAACTATTCCTGCATATGTTTCACACAGCGGATGCCCATCCAGCTGCAACCTTGTACTGAGAAACACACTACGGCAAATTTAGTTTATTCAATTCACCAATAGAGCATGTCTTTGGACTGGGGGAAACAAAGTAGCTTGAGGAAACCCACACAAACAGAAATGCCAACTGACTCAGCCGGGACTCAAACCAGCGACCTTCTTGCTGTAAGGCAGGGGTTACCAATCTCAGTCCTGGAGGGCCGGTGTCCAAGCAGGGTTTAGCTCCAACTTGCCTCAACACACCTGGGTGTTTTAAGTATACTTAGTAATACCTTGATTAGCATGTTCATGTGTGTTTAATTAGAGTTGAAGCTAAAATCTGCAGTACAGCGGCCCTTCAGGAACAAATTTGGTAACCCCTGCTGTAACCACTGAGCCACCATGCCACCAAATTAAACTTTTATAACATAAAAAATTAATTGAAACCAGAATTGCTTATTAAAACTAGTTAAAGCAACATTAAAATATTTGTTCTTGACTTTTTGTCTACATTTCTTACTGTGTATGTAAGTCAGTTGCTGCTTTTTTGCAAGATTTTTCTGTATTCATGAGTATGAGTTCAGCACAAGATAGAAACTCAAACAGGTTTGGAGCAAATAGAGTGAAGTAAATGTTGGCAGAATTGTATTTTTTTGTGTAAACTATCCCTTAATATGAATTTAACAACATTATTTAAAAAAAAAAACAGTTGAATTGGATTGAAGGAGTGACACTATGGCTAAATAGATAGCACTGTTGCCTCACAGCAAGAAGGTCACTAGTTTGAGTCCCGGCTTGAGTCTCATTTCTTTTTATGGTATTATTATATTGTATATAACATAATTTAATTAAATGCACTGAATTGTATTCTTCCGTCTGTTGTTCCTATTAGCCTATTTTGCAATTAGCATCAGTGGAGTTTTCCTCAATTTCTTTTTCTTTCCAAAGATTTATAGCAGCGCACACACACACATCACTATTAAGCTGGGTGTGGAAAAGACAAGTCAAATGTTTTACACAGATGACATTCTCAGTGGTGGGACCCACCATGACTTTCTTCTTGATGTATGAAATAGTAATGATGGCTTTCCCATAAAACCTTTGATTCCACCACTTTCTTACATGGAAACCCAACATGAATGTCAATCAGAGGACGATATTTAAGCTTGACAGTCCATAGCAACGGCTGACAACAAAACATAACATCTGACTGACGACAGCTTGATAACATGCGATGAAAGAAGCGACAAAAGTTTGAACAAACACATGGACCAAAGACACGAACTCTCTTTCTCTCTATCTCACCCACTCAGAGGCTTACAGTATCCAGTTTATGAAATTCCAGCAGGAAGCATTGTGTCCAGTCATTATTAATGGTAGCTGACAGAATGATTGCAGTCCTTGTCTCGCATGTTAAATGAAGGACCGCTTTTCCACAAATGTCAATGCACTATGGAAGTGGGTCGTATTGAATTACTTCATCAGAAAGGTCCTTTGTGTTGTGTGTGTGTGTCTAGATGCATGGAAAGACATTTCAAACACAAATTACAGGAATAATCAATTCAGTCAGCAATTCATGCATTGTAAATGCACATTTGTATTGTTCACCATTAGAAATGACCCTTCATAAGCTCTCACTGGCCATTTTATTAGGTACACTCCACTAGTAGCCGGTTGGACCTCCTTTTGCCTTCAGAATTGCCTTAATAATTTGTGGAATATATTCAACAAGGTACAGGAAATATTCCTCTGACCTTATTTACCATATTGACATGATATACAAGACATGTTGATACAAGGCAGGATGGATCCATGCTTTCATGTTCTTTACGCCAAACTTTGAGACTACCATCCGAATGCTGCTGCAGAAATCCTGACTCATCAGACCAGGCAACGTTTTTCCAATCTTCCATTGTCCAATTTTGGTGAGCCCGTGCAAATTGTAGCCTCAGTTTCCTGTTCTTAGCTGGCAGGAGGTTCACCTGTTGTGGTCTTCAGCTGCTGTAGCTCATCCGCCTCAAGGTTGGACGTGTTGTGGGTTCAGAGATGCTCTTCTGCATACCTCGATTGTAATGAGTGGTTATTTGAGTTACTATTGCCTTGATATCAGCTGGAACCAGTCTGGCATCAACAAGGCATTTGCGCCCACAGAACTGCTGCTCACTGTATATTTTCCCTTTTTCGGACATTCACTGTGAACTCTATGGTTGTGCATGAAAATCACTGTAGATCACAAGTTTCTGAAATTTTCACACCAGCTCATCTGGCTTTGACAACCATGTCACGTTCAAAATCACTTAAATCACCTTTCTTCACCATTCTGATGCTTGGTTTGAACTGCAGGCGATCTTCTTGACCACTGCTGTTGCGTCCTCTTGTTCTAGTGTAACAGCATCATCAACT